ACACCTTTCCCCCCCCCCCCCCCCCCTACACCTCTTGATGTTCGGGAAATAGGATGATGCATCTCTTTCTTCTGCTTCAACTAACCCTTTTTTTGTACTACATACGGAGAAGAGAGAGTAGAAAGTTGCCTTTCATTTCCTGTCCGATTTTCGTATTTTCTTGTTTCATAATAATATGTGATTATTACATTTGTATGGGCATGGAAATTATTTTCGGAAATGAAAAACCGGATGACGCAAGAGAAAGTTTGCATGATAACAAAGGGGGGTGAAGAAGTCCATAAGACAACCGTTCCTCAGCCACACTCTTATCATAAATGACTTGAAGATGTACGCGACTTGTTCCACGTGTGACTCATTGTCATAATCAAAATTAGAATAAGTTTAAAATGTGAATAACATCATCAACTATCTATAATTAATCCTGTCACATCTAAACTTGGTACGTAACGTGTATGACCGACGTTATTTCAGCTGTTGTGAATGAGGGCATCCGAAATTCATCAGAAGCACTTGCGAATATCATGTGCGTCAGTTATTTTTCAGACCCTATGAGCTGACGTCACCATTAATAATGAATTACAATGTAAGAGACGGTCATTTTCATGTTCAAAAACTTTCAGAGGAATGAAAGAAAGTCTGTGAAGAACATTTTTTTTTCTCGTGAATGTTCGATGCCCTCTGTTTTGTCGCAATTTCATGAAAAGTTTTACGATAATTCTTATGTCCAGCAGTTCCACACCATCTACCAATGGAGGTTTTTTCTGATGTTCCTGTCTGCTTGTTGTTTTTGTTTTTGTTGTTGTTGGAAATGCTTAGTTTCGAGGGTTAAAAAGAGAAGTGGATTCAGAGAGAGAAGTAGACAGAAAGATGGTGGGTGTATAGATAGAGAGAGGAAGAGTAGAAGAGAGAGAGAAAAAATAAAAAGAGAATGCTGAAAAGCAAAAAACAAACTCTTCAGGGTGAGCTAAAAGATTTGAAATCTTTTTTTATGTCTTGACTAATACTAAGTAATTTTTTAGAGCAAAAATAAACAACTGAAAGTTGATAGTTGATAGAAATCATTCGACAGTCAACCACGTGCGAGGAGAGTCTCTATTTAATTTTTTAGTTAAACTTCACGTGCTTCTACGTCGTCGTGCTTGCCTCCTTCTTCATACTCTCTTCGGGAGGAGTGTAAATGAAGAGCAAAAACCTTTTGTACAGAAATTGGTGTGTATATGATGATAGGGTGGTGTTTGTGGTGTTGAGATGGTATGCGGATTGAGAAAAGCATTGAATAACGGGTAAATTCATTAATGATTGATAAGAAATGTTTAAAGTTGAAAAAGATATAAGCTTTATCATCTGATTGATGGGAAAGTGTTTGTTTGTGAAAACGGTTAATTCACATCGTTCATTCGCCTCTCATTCACCTAATTGTGAGCAATCAGAAGAAACTTTTTTTTTCTTTTTTTTCTTCTTTTTCTTCATCAAAATCAAATTCTCTATTGACAGAAAAGGATTGATTGCGGAATTCTCAATATACACATCAAAAAAAATTTGTTATTTTTTTGTTTAAAAAAACTGGAAATTGATTAAGATTCTCTCATCTCTTGTGATATAATCAATGATCAGTCTCTCTTGTGCTAACTATGGGTATATATAGTTATGAGAAAGTACCATATTAGGACAAATGAACATCAAAAGATAAAACATGTCACTTGATAATGAAAGATGATCGTTGAAAAATGAATTTTCGAACTTAGTTATTTTGAAGTATTTTTCATGGAGATTGTTGTGTTTTACTGTCTTCCTTCTATCAGACTATAAAAATACAAGAAAAGAGAGGTCAATGCTGAGAGCACTGGAACAATCTTAGTCGAGAATCAGGAATAGAGTAATGATAGAGAGAGAGAGAGAGACTGATAGAGAGATAGGAGATAGAAAGATACGGAAGGTGTTCAAAGATGGTATACACAGAAACGAGAGTGACGATTAATGATGAAAGTTTTTGGGTGATGACATGATGAAAACGATTAATGGCTGACCAATCGTTCCAATGTGAACACAAAAAAACACATGCCCATGTATGCTTTTCAAGTTTGTAATAGTATATGGTCAGTAGTTGAATGAATAATTAATGGTAAGCTTTATAGGGAGAGCAACCTGAGAAGAAGCAATAACTTAACTTTCTTTCCTTTTTTTCTTCTTTCAATTGTATTAACGTAAAACTGGAAGGGCTGTTTGTTGAGAAGGAGAAAAAGGTTTGCAAAGGGAGGATGTGGGAGGCTAGGAGGAACAATGAGCATTCTCATATTTTGCGATTAGTATTACAACCGAATCTCTTTCTCTCTATACTCAATACTATAGAAAGACAATAAGAAATATCTAAAAATCCGAAGATCATCTCTCATTTGTTTTGTTGAAATAATTTGGTTTTGAGATTGAGGCAGAGAGAGAATCAAGCATTCCAAAGCTGCTTCTGCTGCTGGCTGCTGCCATTTTGATGGATGTTATAGCGTGTGAAGTATTCTCAGAACGATGTCACCTTTTTTCAGAATTTCTTAGCATCATCACTCCCAATAAGATAAACATAGAATGAAGCATCAAGAGGGTTGATCAGATGAAACTTCAATGTTTGTTACTTATCATGAACAATTAAAAAAGCTCAATTTACTGATAAGAAATTCGACGGGGCTTTATCATGAGTGTGGTCAGTCAAAACAAAAGAGCAAATTGTATGTTTGATGAAGTTTTCTAGAAAATCGTAAAATGAAAGTTCAACTGAAAGATTCTTATCTTTTGATAGAGCAAACTTTCTAACAACACGTGTTCTGTTATCAAGCTTTTCCTCATCTCTCTTTTTTTTTCAAAGAACAATAAAATCAAAATTTCAATGAGGAACGTGTTGAGTGGAGGATGAAAAACGACAGAATCTGACGGATTATCATTTACATTCAAATACGAACTTCATTGACTTACAACGTCTGGACGTATGAGATGAATGAAGATAGATGATCAAAAGTTAAAAAATCATAATTTGAAACGAAGAGCAATTCAAATACGGCCAGGAAGGATTAATTTTAAAACAAAAGCCAAGAGGACTCACTTCCTTTTCCAACAAGCTTCATCAATTTTCCGAAAAGGCTTCTCTTCTTCATCGACATCTTGAAGGTAAAAATGTAAAAGTTAGCCGTTGAAATTGGCGTTAAGCTGAAGATTCGATTTCTGAACAATCAATCTATTAGTAAAAGCAGTACGAATTAAAAATAATCCGAAATATAAAGAAAATGGTGTCAATTGGTATTAATCAACAAACGAATAATATGACGTCGTTAGAGGAATGAAGGAAAACATGACGACAGATGGAATTGACAGTAAAATAGAAACTTTAAGAATAAATAAAATACAAAAGAGAAGGTACATGAGAGTATTGGATAGTCTTTGAGTGACTGAAGAGCGTGTTGTTCAACGTCTGATTCCAATAATACTACCGAAAGAAGGCGGAGCTATGCCAGGCTGGGTGACTGACTGGAGCTCCGCCCCTTTTTAAGAATCAGAAAAGGAGATATATCACGTGGCCGGAATACCATCAGGTTAGTAACGGAAAAGTTGATTCATATGTACGGATTTACATATTAGGATGCAAAATGTACTTATCAGTATAAATATTCAGTTAGTCATAAGAGTAAGATGGTGCAGAGAAGATAATAGTGAGAGAGAGATGGAGGGAAGAAAGAGATGAAGAGAGAAGAATGTGAGAGAAAAAAAAACGTGGATACTTATAATAGAGAGAAATGAAGCTACAGGATGAACGATAAAGAAAGAGAGCGATAGAGAGAGAGGGAGAAAAAAAAAGAAGTAGGCGTGTGTGTAAAGGAATAGCCTAGGGCTTTTCCTTATTAGCCTTGACTACAACAGCATTAAAAAGAAAATAATTCCTGAGGAAATCAGACATTGCCGAGAGGAACAGGTTGAACGCAGTTGGCAAATGAAAAAGAAAAAAATCATTTGATGAAAAGAAAATATTAACTTCCGTCTGAACTTGTAATTATATTTTTCATCATTACGCTCCCTACTTTGACTAATTCGAGAAGATTAAGTTTCGGTTCTTCAATTGGCAATGAGATGAATGAACAAAAAAAAATTATTTTTCAACCGTATTAATCCTTGAATGTTGATTATGAAGAGATGAAGAGAGAGAGAGAGGGGGGGGTGAGTGAGGAAAGGAGTAAGCAGGAGGGGGAGAGAAAAGGAGAATATGGTTCATAAGCACAGACGTGTACGTGTAAAGAGAGCAACAGTGAGATGAAGAGGGCTATGAAAGATGGAGTATGTGAAAAGTGAGAGAAGGAGATTATTATCCTTACAAAGAGAGAGAATTCTCAATAAAATGAGTAAAGTCACATTAATAATTTGGCCAACAGAGAGACAAAAAACACAACAAAAGCTCTGTCGAAGATTGGCCAGACCAAAAACTGGCAATGAAATATATAGAAGTTGTCATGTTTTTCCTCAATCTGACATGGTAAATTGAGAAGAAAAAAAAAGGAGAAGAAACGAACGATGAGAATCAAAAGTAAAAAAAAAGAATGAAAAGGAGGGAACGAGGGAAGGAGGTAGTAAGAGAGTAAACTGAAGAAAAAGAAAGAAAGAGAGAGAGAGAGCGTACGAAAAGCAACCGTTCACGTCTTGCAGCAACAGCTTCAAATGAATTTGTAAATTGAATGCGTGGAGTACACGTGTAAGCGGACAAGCACGTGTGACGTCACAAACAACATTTTATTCTTTTTTTCGCTCTAATTTGTTTCGAACTAACTGACTGGTCAAATTAATAAACAAAGAGACAATACCACAATTGAATGTTTGGATGCTGAGCCATTTCTATTAGTTGAAGGGAGTAGAGCTTGGGTGATTGTGTGTGTGTCTGCATGGAACTCTCTAAGACCTGTGAGCACGTAAGGAATAATGAAAGAAAAAAGGTGCAATTGACAATATTTGAAAAGAAAAAAAACGGGATTTGTGGGGGAGCTGGTAAACTGAAGAATTTTCGGATTTCAAAGCGAATGAGAAAAAAATGAAAAAAACTGAGAGACTGAGGAAATGCGTGGAGGATTGGGTGGAACAGAGAGTGAAAGCCTAAAATGGCGAAAAAAGGAAGAAAACTTCTAGTATGAAGATCGAAGACTAAGGTAGAGAGAATATGAGGAGGAAAAAGGATTTCTCTGTTCGCCATAATATGAACACAGGAATATTCTAATTTTTGTTTGTTTTTTTTCATATAGAGAGGGAGAGAGGGAGAGATAAACAGAGAGAGAGAGAGAGAGAGAGACAAAGCAAGACAGTGAGAAAATATATCAAAACTAAACGTGTTATTCTTGAGTGAGAGACCAAAAAAGGATGAATTGATATAGTGAAGCTACCGAGGCTTAAAACATCAACCGCAAAAGACATAAATAGCTGGACAGACGACCTTATTTGGAAAATAAATATTTTGAATTGTTCAAAGAAATTGGATTTTCTCAATGACTTTTTGATCCGATGACTTCTTACCCCGTGGCACTTGAATCATTCCAATGGCTTATATGGTCAGAGCTTAAACAACATTTGCTTAATTATAAGATAAAACTACTAAAAAACCAAAGACTAATAGAATTAGATGTCATCTGACCTCTATGTTCATGTGTGTATGGTTTAACTATATCATATGTTTTTGAGGCATATGTTTGATGAAAAACCGTCATATTAAGTACATTTGCCATAATTGAGTTCGAGAGGGAGAGCGGATAATAAAAAAAACATCAGAAAACAATAAATGAAAACGATAAAGATCAATGTAACAGAGACTGTGTTAGTGTAGCTGCCTCTTGTTCTTCGTCCCAGCTGCTTTTGCAGGCGAAAAAAAAAGATTTTCCAAGCATTCTCCATTGATAACAAAACTGATAATTTGAATATTTCATGTCCATTTTGAACTTATTTCGTTTTTCTTTTGCACAAGGCTCTCATATAGTGAATAAAACAGAAAAAAAAGGAAAGAATGAAAAGAGAGAGAGAGAGGAGAGTTGGCCGAGGAGAGGAGGGGAACGTGGACGAGAAAAGGAAATGCAAGATTCTGTAGGAGAATGGATGTTTGATTGAATCATCGTTACTTTGCTGCATAAAAATAAAAGATAATTCGACTATCAGGTAAAAGACATCTATCTTTATTTGACGATTATCATGTCAAAAAGCCAAATAAGAATGTTCTTCATCAACTATTTTCACCTTAATTGCTTGATTGAAACCGATGTTATGCGAACAGACTTTGATAACGTTGGAGATTGGAATGAACTGAAGAAGGAACTAGGAGATAGAGAGAGATAGAAAGAAGAAAAAAAAAACGAAAAGATATTCATTTTATTTAAGACAAAAATAGACTGATTGAACATAAATGGATAGGGAACTGACGGAAAGAACGATGAGACATCGTCGAAAGATGATGTTGGAGATGATAAACCGGACGACGATAAATACGACAAACTACAGATTTACACACATATATTCCATCTTATTTCTTTCAACCATTCGAAGAGATGAAATAGTTTGGAAAACATTAGAAGGGGGGGGGGGGGGGGGGGTGAAGAAGAAGTGCGAAGACAGACAAGCAAAACGCACAAGATAGCCGTGAGCTGAGCGAGAAGATGGGTAAGACACATGTATCGTCCACAATTATTCAGATGAATGTGTTTTTCAGTTGGCAAATCCGGTTTTAAGAAAAAATTGGCCTTTACTTTCCTTCTTTTTTTTTCATCACGAAACATTTGAAGGCTTATGGCTCTTAAGCCGATAGTTTGGCAGATTTAGGCTGAGAAGAAAGGTGAAAAAAGGTTTCAGAAAAATGGCTTTGAACATAAATTTTCATAAACATCTGGCATGCTTTTCATATTGCTATGACCCGGAAGCATCTACATGTGTGTAAAAGTAGAAAAAGAAACGCTGACAGAGAGGAGAATAGAAACAGAGAGAGAGAAGGAAGTTACATTCACATAACGAGAGGCAACCAATGAAAATGAAGAGAAGAAACATGCAAACAGTTGTTTTTCATTACGCATTTTGTACTATTTACATGCGTGAATGTTCAATTTTCTTTCTCTTCACTAAACGTTTTATTAACCAGTTCAAATTTAATTTTTAAATCAAACAAATCAAAATAGCTTGAATGCTGATCATTTTTGATTTTTGTCTCCCTATCTATAAACCCCCATTAAGATAGTATTAGACTAACATCTATTAAAACTGCTTAAAAGCATCACTTCGATCAACATCTACATCTCTTCAATGCTATTTATATACTATACTAACTATTACAAAATATTAAACTTCAATCCTTTTTCGTATGTGTACAATCCGCAAAAATCTGCGAAACAAGCTGAGCAGGGTGTATATGTGTAGGCGGTAGCAGGAGAAGGTGCAGAAGGGTGAAGGTGAAGAAGAAGAAGAGAAAAAAAAAGCTGAAAAGAAAAAAAAAGCAACCGTTCATTTGCGAAAACAAAATGAAAGATGAGCTTTCAGGTGAATCACGTGGTTCACGCTACCTAAGTTATTCTAATTTTTCATATTTCACCTCTCGTTTTGCTGTTTCTACATGAATAACATAAACGGATTGAAGAAACACAAAACAGAGAAGGCTATTTCTGTTTCGGATCTTGTTTATTCAGAATAATTTGTGATGTGAAGGATAGAAGTGTGTGTGTCTCTGTTATCTAAACTATTAAATATGTAGCCAAAGATTATTTCGCTTCTACTTTTGGAAGACTTAATGAAGATGAGGAAGAAAAAATTGGAAAAAAATAAAAAAAGAGAGGACGACGACGAAGAAGGAAACAGAAAAAACAATAAAAACAAGGAAATGACGAAAAAAACTGATTTGGACATTAAATGTTCAAAACATAAGTAGGATAGGCTTGAAAAAAAAAATGCTGCATCTTCATGAAAATATTTTTGATATTTCGATTAGGAATTTGGAGAGAGAAAATTTCCCTTCATAACGCCTCGCTTATAACATTATGAGCAGAAAAAAAAGAGAAAAAAGATAAAAAAAAAGAAAAAAGGTAAACGACGTGTATACAAACATGGGGTGGGGAGAAACTAGAAAAACAGGGAGAGACTGTTAGTACGCGTTTTCTTGAAAAATGGTTCTATCTAGAAGTACAAAGACCCACTAAGGAAAACCCGTAGAACACAAAATAATGTGAAAGATCGTACAAGATAGGAACGAAGGAAAGAGAGAGTTGGGTGCAGGATAGCGATAACCATATGATAAACGGTTTCATCATCGTGATGACCATTTTTGAGAAACATACATATCCACTCGTCGAACAGGCGAATTCAGAGACTTTGATACTTCAGAGAACACAAAGGACTTATTTACGTGTATGGAAACACTTTTAAAGTTTTTTTTCTTTTCTCCATGTTTATAGAAGGAAGCGTTCCTTTTTTGCAGTTGTATTGTGAATTAGCACTAAACTACATACATACAACGTTGTGTGAACATCTCACCTGATTTTCCCGCATGATGAAGTTTATGCTAATTCGGAATAATTTAATGAGTTATTATTGTTTTTAAGCGAATAGCTCATATGAGCAAAGAATAATCGGAAAAAAAGAAACCAGTTATCTCCGAATTATACTGTATGAGAAATTAGCATAAAATTAGCATAAACGTAGTTGTACTTGATGATTCTATTTTTGGAAGCAGAAAACAATGAGTAACGGAGAAAAGACAACAAAAAAATAAATAAAAGTGAGTCATCTGAATAAGCAGAAAGTAATTTCTGAACAATTCTTGTGTTTTTCCGGTCTGACACATCACTGTCTCGCTCTCACCTCTTGCTTTCATTCTTCTCAAGTACTTAGCAAACTTCAAATAAAAAACAAATAAAAGTTATTAACATAAACTAATCAGACATTGCGTTTCGATCATTTGTCACAGAGAGTACAGAATGATTCTGAGACATCTATTTGAATAAATGGAAAAGGTGTGGAGAGGACAAGAAATTTTCGATTATCATTCATTCCTCTATGTCTCTCTCTCTCTTTATATTTAACCTCTCATTAGTAGTGAACGATCATTAGTTGGAAAAAATAGAGAAAAGAGATCCAGTTCCAGTGAAACGAATGGAATACAATCAGAATGGTTGTGATCACATACTTTCACCCTTATTTCTTACTACTATTGGTTCGTTCTCTCTTGCGATTGCTTTTCAAAAGTTCACAATAATAATATTTGAGGTAAGAATTGATAGCGATAATAGTAAGATCGAACTAAGGAAGGCTAAAAGTAAGAACAAAACAGTTTGCTGCTTCAAATAGTATTAACGAATGTCTTAGTTGTTGATGAGATTCATTGCTATCGAGTGAGTAAAAAAGGTACATGAAACCTTGAAAGACCGAGTGATTAAACATCAAAACAACAATTGGAATGAGATAAAAAAGGAGGGAATGATCATTGATTGATATTTAGGGGAAAAAAGAAAACATGGAAAAATAGCTTTAAAACGTCTCAAGAGTTAATAGCATTCTATCGTTAACTGTGCGAGAGACAGAGCTAGAGAGAACCTAACTTTACAAAACTTCACTAAACAATCTCCTATTTCTTGGCGATTTCCTTGTGATTTTTTGCTAAAAGCTTTCATAAATCTTGCAATATAAGCTTAGATTAACATACCAGTTACATGGCAAACATCCGCTCTTATGCCCCATTCCTGGAAATGGTGAAGCCATAGCCTTTGCTTTGTTGATAAACGATCTCCTGGACCCTTCACTTCCACAACCTAAAGAATGACTTCTCTAATGGATGCAACATTTTGATATTTTGACTCTATTGCAATGGCTATTCGAACTTTTTGCACTCAATATTTTCAATTTCGCAAAAACATCTTTGCAATGAGAGAATCCGTATCGACCGATGATATCAGTCACATGTGTACAGAAGATTTCCACTGATTCACAGACAGGAGTGTGGAGAATGATGGTAATTTGAGAAAAAGGGCGTCTGCGACGGAGATTATAAGAAATCAAACCATCCTCCTCCAGCCATCGAACGATAAATTACACTCTTACAATTTTCCGGACCTTCTCCAAGTTTCAGTGTTCAAACTTCAATCGAAGGTCACTCTTGAAAATCAGGTGGAATGTCTTACAGATTTTGAAAGTTCGAGTTTGGCCAGAAACACTAAAAGGAGCTCAAAGCCGTCATTCAGAGTCGTGACCTTGAAATTTCTGATAAGATGATTAAACGTTGATAAAAAAATGCCGCTATGAATAGTTGAAACATATGAGACTGGAGTGTAGCAAGAAGAATGTGGATCACATGTCTCCAGAATTAGATAACTAATCAAGAGAAGCCGTCGGCAACTATTGTATATAATCATTTGGTGCCTCAATTCAATACTCATTATTCAGAATAGTTCTCTTCGAGAAGGGAAAGGAAAGTAAATATGTCGTCATTTCAGTATCTCTCGGTCTCTCTCTCTCTCTTTCTATATCTAAATTAGTCGTTCAGTTTTTGAAGGCGAAGAAAAGAGATTCAGGGACCTAATGATTGTAGTTTCAAATGTGTTACATCATTGGATCTTAGGGCATGTTTGAGTAGAGAGATTATCATCTGACACCGTATGTTGTTATGATTAACGAAAGCATAATAATAAAATATGATGAGGTTTACGTAATCGCTCAAATTTCATCTATGAAATTCAAATATTCAATTCGATAACTCAGAGGCGCGACAAAAGAGAAACTCTAATCTGATACATGGATTTCATCCATAATCATACATCGCCTTGAAATACATCTCAATTCACGCTTCACATGGACGCTTACAAAACTTATTCACAAGTAAAAATAATTGGCGCAAGAAAGAAAGGAAAAACACTCTCTCATTTGAGACCAAAAACCAATTTAATATGCGTTATTGTAATAAAAAGAAAAACTTTCATCTAAATGAGATCATCCTCGACGGAGCGGGACCACTAATTTCTTACCAAAATAACAACTTTTTTTTTTTAATTTTTTCGCTTAACAACACAAGACATGCCAGCAAACGTTAAGACAAAATGTCATAAGGTATACCGGATGCTAACCTAATTCTTACTTCGCCACTCAACATCAACGTAAATCTAAAAGAATAGTGTTCGGATTCCTTTCAATGCTCAAAGAACAAAAACATACTTTTCTTTTGATGAAAGTATTTTGTCCTTTGATGAAAGCATTTACTTCATAACCGTTGTGAAATTTCATAAATGTATATGGAATGAAATATTTCATGGTTATAAACAGAACACAAAAATTCTATCCTGTCTTCGCTATATATTTTGTTCGCCAAACTTTTTCAATTAAATTCTTTTTTTACGAACGGAAAAGTATTCCAAGAAAAAAACTGAACATTCAAGTGCATGATAAGGCAAAAAAGTGTTCGCGTTGTTGACAGAACATTCATCTTACGCCTAATTTTTGATGTTCATAACAAATTTCAATATGAAAAAGAGGCGATGGTTAAAGCAAATTAAAATTTTGGTATCTAGTAGGTCAAAGACGAAAAGTTGTTTAAAGTTCAATAACAGAGATCTTTGTGTCTCGCAATCTTTTTGGATGACAACCTTACGTACATGGCCTCATCAAAGTTTAGTTTCCCCCTTCTCCACCCCTAATGTGTTTTTACTTGTTTTTGTTTTCTCAAAGTATACTCTAAAAGACGTACCGCCACTTGTCGAGTTTCGACGTTCCACATTGTGAGATCGGGGAATCCGCTCCTAGTTGCTTTATAATTCATAATAATTCGTTGTAATACATTGACCAACGCTTCACGTGGACAACAACGGATGAATTCCTGATGGAAACGATTGAGATAGTTAACAACAAAAAATAGAATATTACTCACATTACAATCATCGGGAGATTCAAAAAGTTCCCAACTTATTTCGCTATTAACAACTCCGTTGTGTGCAACCCAGCATAGATATATCTGTTCTTCAATTTCGGCATCCTTACATTCCGATAACCATTTTAGACGCTTATCGAAAGCTGTTTTTCTATTTTCGTATATTCCGGGCACATTGAGATCAAGAGGTTGAGCCCATAATATTCAGAAGTGAGGGAGAAACCACTATCAAAACATACTTGAAGCTTACTTGCCCACATGCCTTTAATACTATGGTCGAATATAATATCATAGAAGAGAAGTCCCAACACGGTATGCCAAATTGACCCTTCAGCATGAACTCCTATAAAGTCATCTACTTGTTTGGTTTACTGAGAGCAGTGCAGAACCTTTCGTGTAGTTTTCATTTTCAAGATAATGCATTCGAACAACTTCTTCAACTGAGCACTCTTCCACTAAATCATTTTGAGTGCGAATGAACCGGTTGACACGAGTATCTCCTATATTCTTGTTTAAAACATTTCCTTTGATCGTTAACTGCAAAATAAAAATAATTAAAAATGGGAAACATCTCCAGTTTTTTTTCCACCCAACAACCATCTCCAATATACCTTGGAAAATGCATACTATAATCACGAAATAGGAAAGTTGTTTTCCACATCTTTGATCATTAGGAACAGTTATCTAGATGTAATACAATTGAATTAAATGAAAACTTACAACTTTTGGTTCGCACAATATCAAAATTGAATCGAATGATTTGATTAGCCGCTTTCCCCTGTCCTGAAAAATTGAAGATCGTTAACTAGTATCTAATATATCTATATGAATACTTTTCAACGAAACTTATATAATTATATTAAACTTACAAAAGAATCAAATTAGTTAATATTACGGTGTAAGATCAAAACAACGTTTTGAATAATACCGTAGCACAGCCGGTTTTGCAACCATTCGCACACAAAATAGAAACGCATGAACTACGTGAAAAACACGTCACGTAAATTAGCATAACTTCAAATGTGGCAAGTCGTTTGAACTTTTCATCGATTGACTTTTCATTTTATCTTTGAGTAAAACCTTGCCTGAAGTAATAGTTGATCTTTCTCTTTGACATGCATGTCTTGTAATCCTTCTCGTATTTCTTCTAATGCTTCATCTTTCTCCCTCAAGTGAGAATCCAGATTCAGTGCCAGACGATCCCACCAAGCACCTCGAGCGTCCATACAAAACCCTTCGACCGCTTGAACGAATCAGTCAGACAATCATAATAATTGTTTAGCAGACCTTTTGACTTCAACAGAAACCGTTGCAAATCTACTGCCAACACGAAATTTTTCTGCCGTTCCAACAAACTTGCACCATGAGCGATGCAACGAACAAGCACCCATGGTGCACTAAACCGCCGCAGTGCAGGATAAATCCATTTGCTTTCTTCGAGTAATCTGCAGATATTAAAAATAACTTCAAATTCAATGAATTTGTACTTTGAAAATGATTCTCCACAAAGTAGTTCTTTGGCTTTCAATGAGACTTCTAAGGCCTCCCCATGTTTACCAAGCCCTATTAAATTCATTATTTCTACTTCCATATTCTTCGCTTGAACATATCTTAATCGAAACATGTTATCAGTCGACCGTTTCACTTTACTGAATTAGATCGTCTCTATTCCTGTATATGCTTATGATATTATTGCACGGATTTGGTGCAGGGAAAGACTGCCTTCCACTTTCCATCTGTAGCATTGTAAATCTGAAATTTGCTTTTCCTACAAAACGAACAAACAGGGATTATCTCTTACAGCATGCTTTGCTCGATGTTCAAGTTCGGCTGATCAATGGCAAGAGCGGAATTTGTTTCACTGGGGGAAAACAAAGTAAAAATAGACTGAAAAATTGTTGAAAAAGTTTTAATTTTCTGGCTCACCTTCAGAAATAATGATATACTGTCGGAAATCCGATAACAGGGTCCTAATTCAGTTTGTATTCTGAACATCAATAAGCTATAAACGACAAGACACAAATTTACGTTTTTATCATCCGTTTTTTGACAGTGCCTTTCAACCCAAAAAGACCTTGCTGGCGGGAAGCAAAATCTATTAACATCTTTGATAAGTCTGCCTTCATCTGCAAAACAAGAAGTTCACAAAAATAAGAGAACACGTGAATACTTTTGTTGCATCCAACTTGAAAACTTTTGCAACTTGCTTGACTTTAGGTAGAGGTAAAAGCTTCAAGAGAAGCTCCAGATCATCGAGGGAGTTATCGCTGCATTCCACAAAACCGAAGTTCGTTAACTCATCAAACAGTTTTGGCAGAACTCCTGCGAACTCCGTATACCTGCGCAGTACATCACGTACACGATTTCGGTAAACAAGAGCATTACCTCTGATACAGCTTCTCTGTAGTAAGCCAAGCTCTCTTGCGGAGAAAAAACCTCATAAGAAGCTGTCTAGCTTTACATGATAATTCTAAGAAGTTATGAAAAAAGATCATATAATCTCCCCAGAATTGTTCGTCATACTGCTTTCCGTCATCCGATTTCAGACTTAATACCTGGAACAACATTGTCCAAAAGTCAAGAAAACGAATCTCACAGTTTGAATGGCTTGTAACGTGAACTTCACGAAATATGGTGTGTTCTCTCTCTCAACTTCGTCATCATCAGCATCCTGCTCTATTTTTTGATTTGCATAAGAAAACTTGATTTGGCTCAGAAGAGACTAGAAGAGACAAAGGTTGAGCTTCCCAGTTGCAGACTTACTTTCAACTTTCCTAGAATTCCCTCTACTGTGATAGCTTCCACTTTGACTAAAGCTTGCGGTTTTGGTACAGACTGGGTAGGTTCTCTGTAGATTCTTACAGTTTCTGACAAGTCTAATTCGAATATTACTTTTTAACTATCTTTTTTGAAACATTTTCTTCTTTCGCTTCATCTTTTGACGTTGAAGGTTGACAATGCACCGCATCAATCGAGAGCTTGCGACGTCTGAAGAAAATTGCTGAAACTCTCAGATGACAAAGTGGATCCTTACTTCAAAGTAGTAGTCTCTTTCACTTTTTGATCATTGCTTTTCAATACATCCTGTATCTGTAGGCGTGCACTCCTCCTTCGACAAGATTTCTCTGTGTTCTCTACGTTTATATTATCTAAAACCGTGTAAGTTTCATATGAAAGCTCACAAACCTTTCAGTTGAGTTACAATTTCTTGCGTTGGCGCTAACTCGGAATCGGATGTATCATAGATTTCTACTATTTGCTTGGCAATTTCCACCTTTTCCTCGGCCGTGATCATTAATGTTACCTGAGGTTGTTATGTTTCTTTAAAATAAAACCTTCTAAGCATTACTTGGCACTCATCATCGTCTGGAGAAACGGAACATGCATCAACGTGAACTCTGAACTGTCCTATAGACACTCTTGCTTTGCATATTGAACAAATCTCAAAGACTATTGTTTTCTCTAAAGCCTCAAAGCCCAACCTTTCCTTCCCGTTGTCGAGCAAATGCTGCTAAAATTGATCTAGAGTGTTCAACTGGCTCAGACTTTGGTTCAATTTTCCGTTTCATTTTAATCGTCCTCCTATAAGCTAAGGTAAGAACACACAGAAAACACGCTTGATAGATATGCTAATGAGCTGGATTGACGTTTATCATTTATATGCAGAAAAATAAAAGGACCGGTTGTGCAAGTATTCAGTTTTATTCAATGTTGTTTTCAAAATTGAGTAGCGTATTAGAGTGATAAAAGCTATAAAACCTGATAAAATGAGTGTTAAATAAATAAAAAAGTACAAATTCGAGTGGGAATTAAGAATTAGTAAATGCGGGAATGTTACAAGTTGAAAAGCAATGCTGACGCTTTGTCGAAGTAAGGTACAGTCTCAAATGCCAAGCATAACTGAAAAAAGAGAATAACATTGGAAAAAAAGTTATAAACACCCTCAGTAGAGCTTCACAGTCGTTAACAGCGGTGTGAGCACAGAATGTCTCGTGGAAAATCTGAGCATATAATTGAAATTATGAATGCATACGATGACTTACAGCTTGATATAGATTCCCTTGACCGAAGCTCTTGTTGAATCTTTTGTATGAGCACTCATTGAAGCTCCAATCATCAGTGTCTTTCCTAAACATCTATACTTATGATGGACTTTCTGAAAGTTTACCGTATGAAAGAAGATTGAAAACGAGCTTTGATAGCCAAAGGCCAGTTGTTGATTTTCAAATAACGAAAAGGATGATCGGATTCCAACTGATCTTCATCGCCTCGCGGACAACTGAATTATATGTTGATGTTTGAAGAAACTTAAAAATACATTCTAGCAGGAGCCGTTCTAGGAATAAGCTGAGGAGGTAATCTATCCGGAGTTCTTTGGATTTCGTCCTTATTGGGTATAAGTACAGGCTGCGCATCAACAATAATATTCTCATCTCTGGCAACCTTAACTAAAATGGAGATTATGAGTAAACAGTATCTTCTTACTTTTAGTGAAATCAATAGCATCCACAATGTTTTTGATATGTTTCAAGTAGACTTGATCAACCGATTTGAAAGCATATATGCTGTCTGCGAAGAAGCACTGAATTTAAAAAATTACTGTCATACAAAGAACAATCAAGTACTCCTCCTAAGTTTTCTCGGACATCTATATTAGCTCTTTTCATTTCCGCTAATAAGATACGAAAGTCGAACTTCAATCCATTGTGAGCTACTGTAATGAAACAAAAATAGAAAAAACCTTAACTAATTATGTACCAAAGCAAATAGGTTTTTTGAGCCCATCCAAGAAATGTTTGACACCAGGCCATTCTTCTCGGAAGCATCTTCTATCAGAAAATGTAAGCACTTCTGGTGCTGGATCTATTTGAAGTAAATGCATATCCAATTCATGTCCAGTAAGCCCATGATTTACAGGACATGAGAAAACAGATCGAGTGATGGATTTGAAATCCTCCTTAAAACTCCTTCATATCTGTTTCTTATACAACAAATTACTTTTTTCTTAATCTTCGTAACCGTTTTTTCAAAATCACTTCTACGCACAGCTACCATACCGATCTCAACAACTCTCGGATGAACAACATTTTCTAAAATAATTTGAGTGAAGGTAGTACCTTTCTGTGAGAGGATTACCTCTTTCTACGAAGTTCTTAAAGTATTCGATACATACGTCGGGATCATCGATAGCATCCGGCCGATTCCTGTCTAAATCGAGCTTGAAAAGCCCTGTAGTTTCGAAATCGAGAAACACATAAGTTTCAATATTTTTTCGTCTGGATAGCGGGATAATAAGTATTTCGAAACACCCAAATTTACATACACAGATGATTCACCGGCTGCTGATGGGTCTGTTGCTCCGAAATTCAAATTTCTCTTCACTCTACAAGAAAATAATTTGAAACTCTTATGAACAAATATAAAAACCCTCTTCTTGCAGTTTCCACAGGAGGATCATCGCTAGCCACATTAACATTATTAACATTCTCTATCTAAAATATGGGTTGAACAAGCTATGAAGAAACATCTTATAAACCTCACACATACCTCGAATATGTCTTGACTGCTATCCTGTATGGAAAATATGTCTTCCTCGAACGAGTCGTTCAAATTGTTAGCAAACATGATAAAGCTATTAGTGGTCCTTCTTCTTGATAATATTTATAGCTTCCATCACTATTATAGATAACCTCCGAATTTTGAAATCATAATCACCATCATGAATCGTAAAAAAAACGTTTTAAAACCGTTCTGCTAGCGGAGAAGCAATAAACGTGACATCTCTGCTCGGATAAGAAAATTTGCGCCATTGAGAACACGGTACATAGCTTCACATTCAACAACAATAACTTGGTAGGGTTTTTTCAAATAATTTATTCATATATACATAGTTCAAGAGATATATGATCGAAATAAATAAACTTGTCAATTGTGATAAACTTTCGTATAATAAATATGATTTTTGATAAGTTTTTTTGGGAAAGCATGGTGGACGGCATGCTTCTCTCGAGATATCAGGCAAGTTTGAGGCACGTAGTGGTTAAGTTGGACTAACAAAGTCAGGCAAAAATGGCGATATAAGGAATAAAACAAGTAAGAAAATGAGAAGCTAGAACAAAACTATCCAATTAAGCTCTTAGTTTTATAATATTCCTAATTGGCGGAGTTCTTCCCGCTGTCTTTCCAATGTGTTCTGATTATGCTGAAGTTTTTCGCGATGTTCTCTACTCAGCGAGGCAAATCTGAAGAATATGATTAATAGTAAAGACAGGAACCAGTAGAACAAGAAAGACGTACTTGTCTGCTGAACTGGGTGTTCTCTGAACTTTTGGCGATGTTACTGTGGATGATACAGCTCCTGCACTTGGCTCTCTTGTCTTACGCAACGTTCCTTTCTTCTCTTGATACAATCTGCTCCAAACAGTATCATCACCCTTATCTTCAGCACTATGCGAACGCTGAGTAACCGATCTCGGAAGAGCTGGTAGTTTGCGCTCTAATACTGGTGTTTTCATACTGTCGGTCCGTTTAGGAATTCTTGAAACTCTAGCCTCAGTAATTTCTGGACCTTTGGGAGGCGACTGAAAAATCTATTATTTACGATTGAACCACTGGTTTTCTTGCTGGCTATCCCAAGGAAATTTGTCATTCAGTAATACCCATTCATATCCTTCTCTCACTTGGTCGTCAATAGGTATTTCTCGTTTTGGAACATGATTACGATGTGATATCAATTATCCCATCAGTGTTCAACAATTGCGAACGGGCCTGCACTGATAGCCGTTCCAAACTTTATCAATAGCCGGTTTTTTTTTGTTGTTTTAGCTTAAAACAGCCCTTGTATCACCTAGTAGTCATCAACAATTAATGAATACTGTAAAAGGAATTGTTGCCAATTTCAATTTAGACAGCTTCTCAAAACGTTGTCATGATTCGGGTTGGCAGCCGATAGTAAGTTAATGTGCCTCGATAGCTCAGTTGGGAGAGCGTTAGACTGAAGATCTAAAGGTCACCAGTTCGATCCTGGTTCGGGGCAATCGTTTTGCATTGACAATGTCTAATTTTTAGTATTGAACTGACCATTTTTGTTTGAGTTTTCTCTCTTCTTATCGGTATTCCAGACTGTTGAACTGGTGGGGATGGTGGTTGAATTTTTGACTTAACGGGTGTTGGTGGTGTTGGAGGTGGTGATGGCTGAAATTGCAGCTTAGCGAGCTGATCGGTTTTTAGAACAAACTTTTCTCTGAGTAGGCGTAGGAACTCTGGGAACTGGTGAAGGAGACTTAGCGATAATCTTCGGTGAAGGAGACTAAACAATGAAAAAAATAAAAGAGCAACTGGTCATGTTCAAAGTAAATAAAGGAACAAGTGATTTCTTATAGACTCAGTCTATACTTAAATCTCGTGTTCATACACGGATATGTTTGGGTAAATGAATCGTATCGCTCACCCTTGAAACTATTTTCTTTGGTTTGGGTGGAAGTGCCGCACAGTATTCAATGGTGGCAGATTTAGGGTTAGGGGACACCAATGGCTTGTCTACTACTAACTCCGAAATCTGAAAGAAAGTTCATCTTCGTTACGCAATATATGTTCGTTCCAACCTCGATCCTATCACTGACGGTATGTAAGCTGTTGGTGTCTTGTGATGATGATGATAAGCAGTGTGTACTATCTTTATCATCTGATAAACTTTCGCGATAATCCGATGTGTTATCGGAAGCATAGTCACTGCTTTCCATTTTCGAAATATCGCCTTCGATTGCTGAATGAAAGGTTAAGAGTAATACATCAAGCTTGACGGACCTGCAGTTTCAGGCGTTATGTCAGTCCATGAAGACGTGCTATCCGGTACTTGAGTTTGTTCTTCCTCTTCAATTTCTTTTTCATTCTTTAAATCTTCAATTGTTGCCGGCAAAGCATGTCTTTGAGTTGTTTCCAAAGATGGGCATCTTTGAGTTGGACAACTTGAAAAAAGTATTTTTCCGAAGAAATAGAAAAAAAAATTACGTAATTGGATTAAAATGGATGTTGGTCAAGGTGTTGCTTCGGAACAAGGGATGAAGACGTGGACTTCCTTGAGAGAATAGATGATTGTGAAGAACATTCAGAGAAAACTAACCGTCGATTGCTTGCGAAGAAGAATCGTTGTTGAGTCTTCTTTCTAATTCTAACTTCACTTTGTATGGAGAGGAATAACTCAGCAAAGTTATAGCATCCTCACAAACCATGCCTTCGAATGAAATCGTTAAAGACTTTATACGATCACCTAAATGTCGAAATGAAGCAAAAATATATTTGTTGATTCTACCTTCCAAGATATTTCCTGTTTGCTCTGCTTGCCCCTTAGGATGAACTGTTTTCACGAAAATGCCTTCATTCATACTTCCCTGAAGAGTTAAACAAATGATAAGTTGAATGACTACTGGAAATACCGTGATGTTGAATCCAAAACCTCCAAGATCATCGCTTTTAAGCTGAACTCCAACTTGAGCATCAACCTTGAGCACATTCGTTTTTATTTTAGCATCTAGTTTTCAAACCTCATTAATGTGTTCACTGCTGAAAGATTTTTGAGTTCCAGCATCCAATACTTTTCGACGTAGTTTGAACGAGTCGATCATTGTCATCTGGAAAATTAAAAAAATGAATGTTTGTCCTTTATTCTTCCATATTCGAATGTTCTTTGAAGCTTGCATATATTGTCATACCTGATCTTTTTGAGAAAGCTTTTTGGTGGGCATAGCATCACATGCTTTATCCTCAATATCACAAGCCGGATTGGTATAGGCAGCTTTTTCTTCCATCTTAGGCTCCTTGCCTTTAAACAAACAATATAATTTGAACGAAAAGGACCCGAAAAGAGAAAAAGAAGTTTAAAGCCTTACTTCTGTTTCGCATACATCTCCAAAGAACAATAGCTATGACCGTACATATAACGACTGATCCGATAACACTTCCGAATATGATTCCGGCCAATTGCGATTGACTGAATCATTTTGAATGTTATTAGATAATCCATTATAATCTCACCTCAAGCAAGTTTCATCAGCAGAAACTATCGGTAAAATCAAAGAAAATGCTATTAAGAGACTCTTCGGACCCATCCTGAAATTCTTCACATAAACAAAGATGTTCTCAACTAGAATGTGATTTCTAGAGACGATGCTCAATTACACTTCACAAAAAAAAGAAGAATCAAAGTCTGGATTGAATCTGCTCTTCTGAAGGTCAAGCTGATGTCTTTGATTCAAAGGATAGAAGTTGGGCGGACGTTAACTTGACTGAACTAGCAAGCCGGTTATGGCATATGGGGGATGATAAGAACGAAAAGCGACATGTTTTCTTGAGAATAAACGTTGGATAAGCTTAAATATGACAAGGGAAAAAAAGGAAAAATATCAGAAAAAGAAAAGGTAGTGAAGGATGGCGATTGCAGAGGTGACATGAACCGATTGTGGGTAACAGAGGATGAAAGATAAATGGTATGAATGACCTTATGTGAAAGAAATCACATTTCGATCAAAAAAACTTATTTTATGATAAACCATTATAGAAATTATCAAATTTCGTTTTTTTTTTGGTTATACAAAGAAGTTCAGAACGAAACATATTTGTGCGGCAGATTGAAAGAATTCTGAAGGACATCATGTGGTTGATGATAGGGGGGAAAACCTAGACGTACAAGAACAGAAAAAAACTGAGAAGAAAGTGAGATTTTAGGTTGGAGTTTTATGATCAAGCGGAGGGTTTCACATTTTTTTTTGGTCTTGTTCCAACAATACGGTGAAGGGTTAATTCATATTGTTTTTCAAGTATTGAACTGAAAAAAAGCTTCGCGTTGCCCTTTAATCACTTAGCGTTATCCGGATCTGATTTATGGTTTGAAATAAAAATGGAAAGAAAAGACAAGAAGATCATTAATGTTCAAAAAAAACAAAGAAGTTGTCTCGTTTCAAATCATTCATTAACATGAATAAATTGTGTTTAATTAGGTTAAATAGAATATTAATCAAAATATAAATTAGCGGACATCCAAAGCCAACCAAGTACACCACAGCCAGAACAACCGATCAACAGCGACTAGCTGCTATCAAAATGAAAGTTTTGACGTCGTAGCAGACGCATGTTTCACGTGTAACTACTTAGCATATGTTGTTTCTTATGCAAATGATTTTGGAACAACGAAGACGGAATATAAGATAAAATCGAAAAAAAAATGAAAGAGATGAAACTGATTTGTCAAAGTAATAGATGAACCGAGAACAAAATGGTTTTGACGCTTTAGTTCAAGGGCTTTACCGATGGCGGAGAGCAGATAACGTTTTATAAATTGGGAACGACAAGCCGATTTTCAACAGTTTTGTCGAAAAAATACCAAAACATCCGTCTTCCTCAGTTGACCTTAACGCCTTGGTTTTGTCTTCTCATTTTTTTGTTATGAATTTACATATAAAAGTGAATTGCCATAGCTAAGAGAAAGGTAGGAGGGAGGGGAGTATTGATATGAAAGACTTGAGAGAGGGGGGGGGGAGATGAAGAGAGAGGTTGATTAGAAGAAAGGGTTTTGAGATTAAAGTTTTTTTTATTAGAATGCAAAGACAATTTATGATATAATTAAAGGTGAAAAAAGAAGAAACGAACGGAATGAATGCGATTGATTCCAGAGTGTTTGAGGAAATTTTTAATTCAAACGATATAGGTTGATGGAAAAAAAAGGATAAAAGGAGAAGAGAAATGATATTATTGTCATACAAAATATTTAAGAAATTGATAATAATGATGGTTTTGGGTGGAAAATAATAATGACAAGATGAGAAATAGAGAGAGAAAGAAAGAGAGAGAGTAATGCCCATGGAGAGATGAAGAAGAGAGTTTCGAATGGATAAAGGTCATTTGAATAGTGGTAGAAAGATAGAATTTGGCAAATGAATGAAATATGTTGAGGTAGAACTGTTAAGGATAAAGAGAAAATGACTGAGAAAGAGATGTTATGCCTTATAACATTAGGAGAATATGAGAGAGAGGGAGAGAGAGGGATTGAGCGAGAGAAGATATCGTCAGATCGGTCAGTCGTGTGTCGTTATGCGGCTAAACGAAGGCAGTACTGATAAACAATCACCTTTTACGGATAATGTGAGATATTTAACCATCTTTTACTATACCATATAGTATTTCTCCTATATGTAGATCTTTCTTTCTCTCAATCAACATCACGTTATGGAAAATACTTAGGGATTAAATGATATTGTCTCTTCATGTACTCAATCTATATCATCATAGTCTAATTTGTGTATACTTTTTGACAAATATAGAAAATATGGTTTATCCGTCCAGTCATACAAAAGAGACACGAGAGAAACATGAGGAGAGAAAGGTATTTTGAGAGAGAGAGGGGGGAGTGAGGGAGAGAGATTGAAATAGGATTTTCTTAAATGCTCGCACATTCCACAGCTACACAAAATCAACGATAAATATGATAATTTATTATAAATATATAGTTAGGAGAACTGTTGAATCAAGTTGACTGCAGGCAACCGAATGGTAAGCACATCTGATGATGCTTATGATAAAGCATCGTTCAACAGCTGGTTATTGACAAATTCAGAATCAGGAAAAACTTGCATCTTTAAAATGATAAAAAGATTAAGATATGTTCGTTAAGTCAGATGAATAAAGAGAAATGAGGAAGCATTTTAAGCTTAAAATCAATTTGTGTTCTCATCTCATCGAAGCTTGTACGGTTTTCATCTTTCTCTCTCATTACGTGTTATTGCTCATCGAAACTCAAGTTCTGTTGTGTTTGGTCACTTGAAAACGATGACAAGATGACAAAAAGAAAATATTTGAGTAAAAGATACAAAATTTTTTTTATTATTATTATTAATGACATCATTCTGAGAATTTTATTTGAAATTTAAGAATTTTATTGGTTTCCATCAGCTTCTTCCTTCATCGCCCATATACTATTCATATTCTAGACACAACCGCTCTCTGCTTTCATCCATCTCAAAAATGATTTCATTCACCAGCCACCCCACCCTTCACGTGAAAAATTAAAAGCGTAGGTTGGCGAGGAGGATGGTGTTGGTGGTAGTGCTCATGTGCAGATTCAAATTATGTTACTGCTTCTGCTGCTGTTGCTGCCTCTCCTCCTTGGAGCATTTGAATTTCTTTTTTTCCCCTCCTCATTCTTCAAAACTAATTGTGTGCATGTATAAGTGTGTGTGTGTGTGTCTATGTATGAGTGTATGTGTATGGTGTACATATATCTTTTCTTTTATTCTAATTTATACATATAGATATATGAAGTTAACCTCAACAATGAAACTTGGTGTATTGTAGTTTTGGACAAGAAATGTTACTTTTCAGTTTGAATATGAAAACGAAAAGTTTTGTTTGTCAAAGCATAAAACTATGCTGAAAAGCAGCAATTTGACAAGTTTTTACACCAGAAATTTACATAATTGGCTTGTATGATTTGAAGATATTGTTGATATCGTTGAATAATTTCTGTCAGTCTGTCTTCATCGTTTGAAAGCTTTTGGCTTCTTCCCCATTTGAAATCTCAAAATTGGTTGTTCCTTATAGGATAGCAAAGAAGAGGCGTAAGAAAAGCGAGAGAGAGAGAGTTCAAAAAAAAAGAGAAAAAAGAAAAGAAAAAAATAAATTACTTTTTTATGATAATTTGGTTTTGGACGATGAGAAAAGAGCTTTTTCCTTTATTGGCAGGCCTCCCATTTGCACATTAAAGCTGGATGGGCGATATACGTGAAATCTCACGTAGTGAGTGACAGATCATTTTTCAAAATTGAGATGCACTAGACTGGTTGTGCTCCAGCCTCATGTTCTTCATCTTCTTCTGCCTCTCTGTTCTTCTTTGAAGCTTTTTTCATTATTGAAATTTTGCTCTCTTAATATCTTTAGTTTGTATCTTTCTGACTAAATAATTAATAAGAATTTCTGCCCTGAAGCAACATATGAAACCTTTGGAACAATTTTCGAATAAGTGACGTCTTCATTCATTTTCTATCCTTATTCAGTAACCAATCACTGCATCTTAATTGGATATTCGATGCATCATCCCAAATATTTTGAATGTTCATGATTTTTGAATACATCTTCCATATTTAGAAATTGGTGTATTTCACATCTCAAGTTTTCTTCTTCTTCACACAAAATATATATATCTCTCTCTCTATCTCCCTCTTTCCCTCTCTCACTCTCTCTATGCCTTTGAAGCTTTGATACATTTCTATTCACTAGGAGAGAGAAGAAAAAAAAAGATTTTGCTTCTTACCAAAAATCAAAATTTATTGCAAACAGCTTTCTGTTGCTTTTCATTTCCTATATAAGGGCAGCAGCTTTTCCCCTCATTTGTTTCGTCTTTCAAGTGTTGGCTCAGTTTGTTTCTAAGCTTGTCCGAAACATGTATAAGCAGCTTTTCCTCTTCTTACAGCCAACTGAAATAAGATATACCTATAGAGAGTAGAAACTTCTCAAACTCTAACAGCAGATTTCACATGAAAATCTAATGAACTACACACATATTTTCGCAAACAGCTTCATATAGATCTAGTAAAATGCTTTTTTGAAAAGAAAATTATTATTTTTCCTATATATGACCCCATGTGTGTGTGTGTATGTGTGTGAGTGTTCAAAAACTAATACGCACTGTCTACACTTTATAATTAATTTAAAGCTTTATTGCCTTTTTTGGAAAGTACAGTTGCTGATAATGGGAACTGCACAAACCTTATATCTCGCCCTATCTCGCTAAGGGGGGGAAAAAACCTTTTTTCCCAGCCCTTAGTCTAATACACTCCTATCTATGCTATTATCAGTTATCAAATTTATATCAAAATTGGCGAGGCAATGTCCAACGTGATTCTTGCCGTTCGTCTGTCTGTCTGCCTTCAACGTTTGATTTATTCAACCTTAATTTGTAGCATCGTTTTAATCTTTCACATCCCATCATACATTTTTTTCCCATTTCTTACAAAAAACTAAAAGGAACGAAAAGAAAGAGAGAGATAGAGAGAATGAGAGAGAAAGATTGAGAATATGAGAGAGAGAGTAAGAGAGATTGCATTTTTCAGTTTATCTCTCAGACGATATTTTGAAAATTAACAAATTCACGTGAAAGTTCCGGGGCGAGAAAGACGTTTCGTACCCAGTTTCTCCAACTTATCTTCACACCATCAATAACAATACGAATAATATTTTTTGTGAATCTTTGTCCTTTACAGTGGTAAAGCCTTGAGGCAAATGACATTCTCGAATCATTCTCAACACAAGTCTTTGCACTTTCCATCCATTCTTCCCTTTTTTTCGCGAATTCGAGATCATATTGAGATTGAGCTCATTCTTCCAATGAATTAATTTGTCTCACAAATTCTATAGGAAACATCCATCTTGCATTGAAACGAATTGCTTCATGTGATTTTTACTTCCTATACGTCTGAAAATTATTGGGAGGAAATTCTGTTTTTAGATCATAACTTATGTTTCTTGATTTTTGTTCCAAACAAGAGAACTCATATTGATATGTTTGAAGGTAAAACAATGAAGACGATAATTGTGTTATGTGCTCTTCTCTTAACATCAATTGATGGACGTGATTTGGTTCGACAAACTTCAATGATGGTTTAGACTGATTTCATCTAGATTCACATACAATTTATATTATTTAAGGATCTCATCCCAAAAACAGTTTTCGAGAGGCTTCTCCATGAAACTAATCGAAGGTTACAAGATGGAAGCACGGATGGTCAGCAATAGCCATTTACTCAATTAATAACATCATACTATATATTTTCAGAAAATTTAATAACAAATCATTATAAGTTAAGGCAGTTTCTCAAAAATGAAATGTCAGGCTTTCGGTTTGGGCAGTACTGATGAGTTAATAAGGTGATGAAAGCTGATCACAGCGACACGATATGATATGATGTGTTTATAATAAATTTGAATTAATAAATAATATTTTGTTTATATTCTTCATAGCTGTTGCTGAAAACACTGTTAGACACTGAAATTTAAATAATTACATCATAAGGTCAATTGACTTGAAATACATCAAATTCCACGTCAGCCACTCTCATGTCAAAGCATGATAGGAGCAATTGCATCTCAAACGATATTCCCCCTCGTTCGATATTCTTATTTTTGTAGAAAAAAACCCTCATGATAAGGATAGTTTGAGAAAAAATTAAATTTCGCTGTCAATTCTTAGCTGTAAAGGCAATTTGCCACTCGTGTACCGGATCGAATATGCGGTTTTCTTAAACAAAAAGTGGATCGAACGAAATAATTTTAACTGGATAGGTGGAGACCAAAAAAAAAAGAATCAGCTTCTCCTTTACATCATCATCAGTTTTATCTATAGCAGCGTCTCATCAACAACGCTTATGATGGTATTATTCAAATTATTACTCTTGATTTCTACTAGTCAGTTTGTGAGTGGTTGCTTCTGTCCGTACGTTTGATACTAGCTATTTGAAAATATGAATATATACTTCTCTAGTCCGCCGATAACTCCAAGTTGTGGTTGTTCCTCTAATAGCTATGCTTCGTCTCCAAGCTTCCAACCACAAACAATTTTCTATAACAACCCCATACCAGTAGCTGGACCGATACAAACTCAATGTCAAATACAACTGCAACCACTTTTTTTAATTTTTAAAATTACAGATGGACAACCTCCACCAATATATGTACAATCTACTTACTACCCTGTTGGAAGTCAATATCCTATGCAGCCAGGATATGCCATGATTCCTCAAGGCCCACCTGTAGTTCAGAACCCAACCTATCCATATCAACCCCGTGCTCCTGTTGTAAACCCATACAGACCAACAACTGTTTTCTCTCCTGATCCAGTTATTCCACCTGCAGTTAAACAGGTTAACGTAGTTCCATCACAACCAGAAGTTTCATTCACGGAAACAGTCATTGAAGGTTAGTATGCAGGAGGGTTCATTTGCTTAATAATACTCAGAACCAACTCCCGTGCACTCACCTCCTGAGCAAGTCAGTCAGTCGACTGTTCCAGAAGAATTTGAATCAGAAGATGATGTTTTGTTCTGAGTTTCTTTCTCTGTTTACTTTTGAGGTTTCAGTTCGAAATTATCAGACCTGCTCAAACCACCCCACAGTCTGTCGTTGCAACGTCTGCTATCAGCTCTAACAGTCGAACAGGTTTTGCATTTAGCGTGTTTCTTAAAGAAATCAAGGAAGTGATTGTAACGTGAGAAGAAAATGAGACTATAAAGTTTTGAACATGAAAAAAAAACAAAATTTTTGATAAACTATCGTCTGACAAGCAGTTTCATAGGATCATGGACACCATCATCAACGGTTGATCAAGTCGAAGAATTGGATATCTCTGACACAACAACTAGCAAGCCACATGAATCAACGACCAGAATTGTTCCAATTCCGAGAAAAGGTTTCCTATTACATACAAAAGAGTACAAAATTCAAATTATTTTCTGTTTTTCAGCCGGAGACGGCAAAAGCGACGATTATGAATATTTCTACATTTATTATGATGATGACAAAAATCAGACATCCGTTGATAAAAGCGTTCGTTCTCTGCTATAATGCTATCTTGAAAATGACTTCGTATTTCAGAAAAAAATTGCTGAAGCAAATGGAAAAGCAGCCGATAAGGTATTTGCTAGAATTGTTTTTTATAATACATAATACTGTTTAGACTAATGATTTTGAAGATTTCGATGATGATACTCGTGATGTAGCAAGAGAAACATCTGTGCTAGACGCTGGGAAAGTTGTATGATAACATTTTGAGATACAACTTCTTATGAGCTTCCTATTAAGGAAGTTGATGGCGCTGATTATAATGTTCTGCAAGTTAATGCTATTCGTAGAAATATCAAGACGAACTATGTCTCTAAAGCGAGCAGAAAAATCTCAGCCGTCAGTCGTTCGTTTCAAGTTGTTCCTATCGTTATCGTTATTTAGGATACCAAAACTGGAGCTGAACAGAAAGAGGAAGCTACTACTTCGACATATCCTGAAGATGAATACGAAGAATATGAGGTTCATTATCTCTTTTTTTTTCTTCTAAATATGACTTTTGAGGTTGAGGAGTTCGTTCCTGTCAACCCAGATGGGTCTGAAGGAGAGCCACAGATCATTCAGGTTTTGTCGAACCCATCTCCAGTTCGATCAACCACAGCTACTCCAGAAATTCATGATCAAGGAGTAATTATTAATAATTTCAACGGCTTTGACCAATGCATCTCTTAGGTATACAAACGAGCCAACACATTCCATGGAATTTCAAAAACTGCTCGTACAAAATTGGTCGATGAAACCGCAGAACCTTCTCATCCTTCCGCCACAGAGATGTCATCAAGGAAGATTCTCAGAGCAAACAGAAGGAAATTGAATGATGGGGAAATTCGACGTCATCCAAAGCCTTGAAAGAAGAAAAGCTTCGAACTCAAATATATTTGTATATTTTTGGTATTCAGCAATATAAATGAAGATGTATGAAAAACTGTTCTCCTAACTTCGAATTCTGGCAGAAATTTTTTTTGTTTGAAAATCAGCAAGCAGCGTTTTTTTCTTTACTTTTTTTCCCACAATTATTCATGAAGATGTACATGGGTTTTGCTACAGATGAATCATCTTCGATGACTTCTGAATATAAACAAGATTGACGTCCGATCGGCCAATCGCTTGTTTCACACTTCTACACTCATGCTCCAACTGTATCACATTATATATTTATTGTTGTTAATTACTTTTGTGTTATGCAACCCTATTGTCGAAACGCTACTCAAAGCAAACGATACGTCTGTGATGGACAGAGAAGAACCGTTGAATGTCACAACCAATAGTACTTTCGCTGATTACTCAGATGAATACATTGAGGATTCGTCCGAAACAACAGACTCCAATCAACTGAATCTAACCATGACTGAAGTTTCTTGCTTTATAAAGGTTTGTTTTCCAAATATCAATCTTGAAACACATGAGGACTTCAGAATCCTCATGAAAACGTAGATGATCATTTGAAAAAACGTATGGATCATTGCAACTTCGAGGGGATGGAATGTCTTCCAAATTTGCAAGAAACTGAATCTCAGTCATCCACACAAACACATTTCGATTACTACTGCAGCAGAAAATTGACGACAAAGGTGAAAAAAAAGAAAAAAAATTGTTTTCAGTTCTTTTCTCTTACAGAACTCGCTGACTCACTATTCCTGTCGCTTCAGCTACTATTACAAGTTAAGAAAATGTGAGAATATTAACGAATGTTATACGGTTCATTTCAAGTGCTTGGAGTATCAAGTTGAGAATCACGTTTCTTGTAAGTCTTAAGGTTCATAGTAAGCTTCAGATTCATTTCATTCAGATTTCATTCTGCTTACGTTTGCTCTGATCATTCTATCATTAATTGCGTTAAAATTAATTTGTACACAGTACTTCAATCATAACCGATCAGGATCTTACCAATTGAACTCGAATTCTTTTAAAAATATTTTTAAATGTTTCTAATAAATATTAATTTATAATATTTGAACAATCCAATGAAAGCAATGGGTTAGATGGGAAGTTGGCTCCAGTGGCTGTTAACATCTCCAACAATCTATAAAGCATTTCCCGTTTTTCTACATTTATAAGAAGTTTTTAGGATAAGAATAAGTTTTTTTAATTATTTAATTACCGATCATCGCCTGTTGTGTTGCGTTTACGTTTAAGAACCATGTAGCTATCGCATTTGGGATAAGTATCAGTATCACTGAAGATGAGAACTTCCGGTGTTTCAATAGTGAACGTACGATAGCTAATGATACCTACAATTCTCGTTTTTCATCTTTATAATGAAACATGTAATGCCTTACCTCGAAATACAACGTTTGGCACAAAGCTAAACTGGACTGAGCGATCTGGTGCCCGCCAAACATTTCCAATTATGGATTTCCTGCCCTTTGGGGTTGAGTATTCCAATTGAAACGGCGATATAGTAGTATCAGTTAGAACTGTAACATTTCTATTTATTCTAGTTGAGAGTAGCAATTTCACTTGTCACATTGGCACAATACATAATGACACCATCACGAAATAAACTTTTCAATGTTTTTCGAGAAGATAATCCGAGACCCATAGACAAGTCATCTATCGTCTAATGAATCACAATCATTAGTTGTTTGTAAATGAATAGCAATCAAACCTCGTCCAAATCCGAAAATGTTGTTTGGAGCAGTTTCTTATTCATATGTGTGATAAACCAAGTGCCATTTAATAAATCATTCATCATATATGGCGGGCATGTATTGAAAAACTAGAAAAAAAGTAATTTTTCCCAATTTTTTTTCTCAAACAAATGACGTTACGTTCGTCAGCGAATCTACAGCTTTCACGTTTTTCTCGTCCATTTGGAACATTAAATTAGATGAAGTAGGAATTTCAATACTTGATAGGAACTGCAAAGAACTTTTGAACATGTTTGGTTATGTCTGCTGCTAACTCTACCTTTTCACTGACACTCTTAGCTTGCAAAAGAAAGTTCCGAACAATTGCCTCAATCGGATCTATAGAGCCGGAAAAGCTTGCAAAAATTAAAATTAAAAATAAAGCACGCATGTTGAATCACTCCATCTGCAGATCTGAAAAGAGAGGATGAGGGTCGACAAAAAAAAACGGGAATTGCTGAACGGATTTCGAGATTTCAATTGAAAAAAAATTGAACAATTAGATATGTCTGACCTTGTAAAAACAGTGTATAGATAGTATAGTTAGTCAGTCAGTCATCAATCCGCCAATTGTACAGTTTGAGTGAAAAATCAATGTTCCCTCTTCATAGTAGAGTGGAAATGAAGAGAAAAAACATTCAGAATGCATACCTTATGATATCATTTATGTAAAGTAAGTCCGTTTGGATGATCAGTATGTTCAGTCTCTGAAATCAAAATATTCTTTGTAAGTTACTATGGTCTCAAATTTAATACAACCGATTTCATTCGTAGATCATTTCGAAATGATCAGGGAGCCACACGGAGTTTCACGTGAAATCTAATTTATGCTAATGACGCGGTTCAAAGAAAAGGCCGAATGGTTAGTTCTTGAATGATATATGTATATGTATATCTATGTAACTCAATAAAGATTTGAATTGAATTGTCTTATTAGTCTTAGCGACACCTACCTCAATAGTTTTTCAGAAGTTGTACGAAAACTACTTTTTATTTTTCGTACAACATGACTGAGAACATGATTTGTCCGAAAGTCTTTCAAGATTATCCTCCAGGATATTCGATGATCAACTGTGTGGTAGCAGGCATCACCCTCATATTTGGAATATATACGAATCTCTTAATTCATTATGCTACACCTAAGAATGTGGATAAAGCCTACAAAATAAGTATAATGGTACAAGAAGGTTTTGTTACGATTTCAACCATCTACAATTGTTTGACAGTTATTCACAGTGTTGAGTTCGATTATGTTATTTTATGTGCTTCTAGGCTCCTGTTCAATATGTTCCTAGTGCTTTGGTTGTTATTACTGGCATACTGAAAGTGAACGCATGCCTGGACGTTCTGTTAGATGTGTGGGGACAGTTAGTTGTCTGTTGCATAACTGTCTCTATTGTGGTTCATCGTTGTTACACTGTTCGTTACGGAAAAGACAAGCCAAAATCGTTTTACATTTTTATTTTTTGTTTCAATACAATAGCTATATGTCCATATATGGTGCATGTGGTATATGCTTCATCTATTTATGACTTCAGAGAAGGAGAGCGACAACTACTTGAAGTTTGATCATCGAATGAAACTCTGACTTGGTTTATGTAATTAAGGATTGCCCTCATATGATAGAAGCACTGAAATATGATCATTTTGTATATTTCTATTCAGCTTATTTGGTACAGACAACTATCACTCTTGTTCTAATATCAGCCGCCTCAATATGTATCGCAGCTGTCATTGCTGTTCTCCTCTACAATCGGCATCTCAGCAGACCAAATGTTAACGTATCAGAACACACAAAGAAGCTACAACACAAACTCTTGCAATATCTGGCTATTCAAGTAGGGGAGAATATGGGAATGTACTTCATCCAACTGTTCAGGGTGCAGTACCTACTGTAATCCATGCCATTCCGACGATTACCATATTGGTTTTAACTTATTATGGTTGTTTGATAGACATATGTTTGTTCCAATTTCGATATCTTATTATCTTTACGAACACAGATATTTCTACCCTTCTCTGGTTTCTCGGCTCTTTCCACGGAATACTAAGCTGTCTGGTGATAATTTTCATCAATAGATACTACAGTACACAAGCTCAGAAAGGTTGAAGTCATGAAACTTATCATTACTTTTATCATTCACTTCTAGATTTAAAAAATATGTTTATATGTTTCCACAACGAAACTGAGTGAAAATACAGTACATAGCGGCAACAGTCTTTTTTGGCGGGTAGTTTACCGATGGGAAATGTGTCACGGAGAAGTGTTAAAGTCATAAATTATGAATATTAGCAGGTAATCAAATTATCATATATTGCGAAATCTTCGCGTCGTCTTATCACCAATCATTCATTATACTCTAAGTCGTCGAATCTGCTTCTGCTCTTCCATTTATCTTTTCATTCTAGTATTGTTCATATAATTATCTTGTTACATATATATATATCTAAAGTTTATGGAGTACGTTTTCAGATAATCATGCCCATATCATTAGAAATGTCCTCCTTCGATGAAATCTCTTTGGCCTCACATGGTATACATATGGTAGCTCCTACTAGAGCATTGCCCCAATCTCCGCCATCTAAATCCTGTTATGAGAGTATTAAAAAGAAGTGAGTTTTTTAAGTTATGACTACTTTAATCTCGATACTTAAGAGTTTTTCGATTCGTTCAATCTGCCTTCCCGAGCGGTGGAAACCTTGAGATAACTCTTGGTGTTCCTACAAGAGTAAGGATTTAAGATATTTGCCTTCATAATGAGTATTTACTTACAGCTTGTGATGTTGGCTCTAGTAGTGTTCTACTCTTCCAGTCTGTATTTTGAGATAGAAATGGAAGATCTTTTCATCGATTATCATCATTTGCTCGACGTTCATGTTAGTTTCCTTGTAACTTTCATCTTGGGATTATTTTATTTCAGCTGAAGCGATTCCTATCATTTGTGACAATTAATCTGATGATCATCTCAATGGTTTTCCATCTGCCATATCTGTTATTACCCATGATTGCATACGACGTAAGTGTTTTACTCTAATCCTACTAAACACTTCATATTTTCAGATGTTTATGATGTTAGTTTCAATTCTTTCACTTCTCTGCTATTCCGCTCCAGTCTTTGGCTATGGAGACTCGCGATTCTATGTTCCTCCATTCTACTTCACTTTATTTTTTACTTCTGCTCGCATGCTTAACAGTTGTTTTCAAATAAGGTAAGAGATATTCCTACAGTGCGATTTTGACAAACTTCTTTCAGAATTTTCTTTTTCTTAAAATCGTATGGAGTCAAGACGTTCTCTAAAACTGGGTAAATGGTAAAAGCGTCTCTAACTTCTTACCTTTCTTGAAATGTACACAAGCTTCATAAGCAATTTGATAAATGTTTTACCTATTTAATAAACTTATTTCATTCTACTTTATGTTACTTTACTTTTACAACTATCAATCCACAGCTCTCGAAACATCTTCATATAAGAAGCTCCTCCCTGTGAACTCGCTGATCATCAATCAGTCTCAAAAAAAAGCCGTCTTAATAAATATAATATAATAAGGAAACTCTCGTGTGACTAGTGCGATGAAGGTACAACCTGTTCAATTTACAAACAAGGTAGATTTCAAACCGTTTATTACATTGCTAAGAAACATGTTTCGAACGATCTGACTACAAGCTTATCAAACTACAATGAACGTTCGAGAGAGACGGAGAAAGATGAAAATAACTCCTAATTCTAATTCGAAAATTGTGCTATTAATGATTCCTAAATGAAACTTTAGGCTTCAATGTTATACACAAGATAGATTGATCAATATTAATTAAGCCGTGAAACCATGTTCCGGTATTGAAACGTAAGATGCAAAACATCAATTGACAAAATGATTGGCTGACTTAAATGTTCATGAGAATAACACGGGGATCTTCTACTGCAGTCTTGATCATTTTCAAGAAGGTAACAGCCTCCCTTCCATCGATAAGTCTATGATCATAAGTCAAAGCAATATGCATGATGGGGCGCACTTCGACCTGTAAATGTCAATCAGAAAGTTGTTTGGAATCTAAACACTACCTTTCCATTAATAGCTACAGGTCTGTCGAAGATTCCGTGCATTCCCAAGATGGCACTTTGTGGTGGGTTGATGATTGGAGTTCCGAACACAGATCCGAAAACACCTCCGTTGGAGATGGTGAAGGTTCCACCATCCATATCTTCAACAGCAAGTTTATTGTCACGAGCCTAGAAAACAAAATTCAACAAGTAGAGTGAAAATCAACAGAACCTTCTCTCCAAGAGCTGCGAGCTCCAATTCAACTTGAGCATAATTCATCGATTCAACGTTTCTCAGAACAGGAACGACAAGACCTTTTGGTGTAGCAACAGCAATGGACATATCAACGAACTTGCGGTAGACGATTTCATTCTCATCGATAACTGTAAAGGCAAAATTAATAAATAATTATTGTCAATCACTGTGCATCACTGTGCAAAGCCACAACCCTATCAAGTCAAGTTGAGGCGATCGTGCGATGTAATTATATCCCAAGATATTGGCTCAACAATGATAACTATCAGTGTTGGAATTTGTTATCTTGGGGAACGAACCAACGACCCTCTTGGCACAAAGTAACCTTTACGCACTCAACCACTTGTGTCTGTGACCTCGCCATATGGTCTCTATAAACTAACCAGCGTTCACTACAGGCATTTCTGTAAGGGCGTAGGCAGCTGCTCTAATAAATGGAGACATGAGTCCAATTTTGAGTCCGTGTTTCTTGGTGAAAGCTTTTTGATATTTGTTTCTCATCTCCATGACATTTCTATAATTCGTTCTTGGAATAACGGTTTGCAAAAAGTAAACTAACGTCATGTCGATTTCATTGAAAGTTGTGAGCATAGCGTAAGTGTTTTGAGCATCCTTCAGTCTTTGAGAAATTCTTGTGCGCATTCTGTTCATTTTAACTCGAGACTTAAAGAATAAAACCATGAGAATGAATATGTGAAACAACACACCTCGTCGCGACTTCCTGTAATAGCATGAGCAGGATCAAGACCAGCAGGAACAATCACTCTTGTTACAGGGATAGATCCAACAGGAGTAGACGAAGCAGGGGAACTTGGTGGCTTTGGTACCGCTGGAGCTGATTTTGGAATATCTCCTGAAATCATTGATGAACATTTTTAATATGAAACGATTATATTTACCTTTAGCTGATGATTGAGCAGGAGCTGGTGGTGCTGGAGTAGGAGCCTGAGGTTGGGCTGGAGCTGCTGCAGCAGGCTTGGCCTCTTCTTTCTTTGGTGCTGCTGGCTGAGATGATATATGAGAAAAACTCATTGCATAAACTCGAATACCTGAGCAGATCCGCCATCTCCTCCAGGTTGGAGCTTATAGAGTTTCTGCTTAGCATTTACTTTAGCTCCATCTTCAACGAGAAGTTCAACGATTGTTCCAGCTTGTGGGGCGGGTACTTCTACTGAAGTCTAAATCAATAGATCAAAAAAAGACAAAACGAAGTATCATACCTTATCAGTTTCAATTTCGGCTACTAACTCATCTTCCTTTACGAACTCCCCCTTTTCTAAAACAACAGATAACGTAGGTGAAAACAAATTAATACAAACGTTTGAGCCATCTGATATCTCCCTCAGAGATAGATTCGGCGAAAGCAGGCCCCTCAACAACAATAACATCGGAGACTAGAAGAATGAATTACACCTCAGCAGGAAAAATAGAGCTTACAATGAATTCCACTAGCATGAATTGATCTAAGTTGAGTAAGAGTAGAAGGCAAGAATGCTCTTCTTCCTGTTTCAGTTAAAGAACGAGATCGAACTGAAACGTGATAATTGCTGAAGGTTTTGTTGTTTATATATATACCTGGGGCTACTGCGCTTACTCTGAGGGTGGAGAAAAGTCGCTGAAATCATATGTATGACTTTAAAGTCCAAAATTTCAACAAACTCACGTGTCGAGCAACACTAGCACATTTCTGAACAGAAGAAGCACGTGAACCCAACATGATGGTAAAGGTACCTGATGAATGATTAGTTAGAACAGAGATCAACAACCAAACGATTGAAACATAAAGAACATATAGATTGTTTTAATATTAATCCAAGACATTGTAATATGATTTCAACAAGAATGGACAATTTATTTTATCACAGAATATATAAAACAGATTGCATAAATTATCTTTCAAGCTTTAGCTTGTCTATGGTTATTATGCGGTGCCCGAAATAAATGCCGGCGCGGCCCTTCATAATAAGGGTTTTCCACACGAGACCATTTATATTAAAAATAGACATTTCTGAGTTTACAGTTTACTTTGTTGCGAACATAATATTTCTCGTAATGCTCCTATAAATGCTAGAGGAATGATGGAAATTAGTAAATTAAATTTGTGTTTTGAGTCAAAAATTGAGTTTAATTTTTTTGTTTTAAAATGCCACATTATGAAATGAACTAATAGCAATATGCTCGTCAATTGTTGAAACTTTCAACTACGACGAAAGATGAAAAATAGGTTCAGAAATAACAATTATGGTGACATTCATACATTGCCCAATACACACAAGAACAACCGCTAACTGAACACGCGTAAAGCGGAATGAAATCTTCTCTAATTTCATTCCACAGACATTGTGATAGTTACCGGTTGTTCGTCAATGCTGTCTGTGAAAACCGTTGCATTTGGCAATCCATGACCTTTCTTCACTAAATACTAGTGTCTCTCATTTTTTAATATTAGGCCTAGTACGTGCGACATAATACTGAACGCATTATTAGCAAAATAATCCGTCTTTCTCAGGAGAGACAACAAGACGGAACAAGGTACGATCACTACAATGACAGTCATTTGGCTATAATTTGAATACGATTGAGTTTGGGCTTAAAAAGCGTTCTACTATTTAGACTGCATTCATTGCAATAATCCTATCGATGATTTCACGGTTTCACGTTGCTTTCACAAGAGCTGGTCAACTGTCTGTAATAATCAAAAATGACTGAAAATTTCATAATCATCCTCAATTGAATTCGTCATTTACAATCGGAAATCAGATAATGGAAATGACCATACTAGGGTTAGTTCATGATCCTTTGATGATGAGTCAACCCTTGGCATGGACAAACTTATTAAAAAAATGAATATCGTAGAGAACTTTGAGAACAAAGTTTTAGTTCCCTTTAAGAGATGATAAACGTTGTAAGTTCTGATTATTCTGATTCAAAGTCATCATTTCAAACATTTGGGCGTATAGGTATTGTTCATAATGAGCGTGAAGTAATGTTCTGTTAAATGATGACTTTTGAAAGTGTAAAAAATGTTATTTATGACCGCGCCCTGTTCCTTCCTGAAGATTAACTGATTACCTTTTCGAATGAGAAGCTAAGGTTGAGTCATAGAAATGAAAAATAACGAAAGAAGTGGTTTATTCATACCCTCTTTGGGTCTTTAGCATATTGAGAGGGTGATAAGATGAAAAGAGTAATGATAATGGATTATCATTTTAAATAAGATTCCTTTATAATCGCATTTTCATATCTACATCTTATTTTCTTTATATAAACTAAAATAATGTCTGATAAAACGTCACTGAGAGAAATGTTCAAAACTTTGCTCTTCCTTGTGCTATTAATTAGTAATTCATATTGTGACGATGAAGTAGACGTTGATCTTCTTTCTGAGTTGGAAAAATATAGTCAAATAGAATCTGTAAGTCTTTCTATATATTGTACTTGTATGTTGATATGTATTTTGAATAGGATCCAATAGGTAAAGGCTTTATTGTTTCACCACATCATAGCGATGTTACGTATGATAATTTAACGGATTCTTTGGAATGTCTCCGACAAGAGGACTTTGACACTGGATTCGTCGTGTAACTTTTAATTTTTCAACTCATACATACAATCTTCGTTCAGTTTATATTCTAGTGGCGATTTTCTCGATTATAATGTTCCATGGATTGAGAACTTGGAAGAGGGTAGGTAGATCTCTCTGTTACTTTTACTGTTAGATACTTACAGAAGGCATGAAGGTGCAAATTGTTATAGCACCAAGCAATGATGAAACTCCTGACTCAGTTTTCAACAAATTCCTTAATGGTTTGACCCGTAATAATCTCACTATTGACTACTTATGGATTGACGTAACTTAACTTATCCTTTTTGAGATTAATCTCATCTGTTAAGACTGCCAACATAGTAGGAAAGTTCCCAGATTCTATAAATCTTCTGAATGGTCTTGAGGTTTTGGCAGCGGTGGGATTCTTGCTGTAGTTCTGTTAACAAGACTATATGATTTTAGAAGAATAGTATTGTCGTTGGAATCAAAACTACAATAGGTGCTTGGGTATACGACCTCAACAACCCTAATTTTGCATCTTCTAAAAACCAACTCCTTTGGTATGATTTTTTAATATTTCGAAAGGAGAAAAGCTTGAAAAGTTAAAAGTCATTGTTCTCATTTTGGGAGAAGAACGATAACTGATCTCTTAAGACGGATTAGTTTGGAACTATAGCAATGTTTGGGTTTGATAAGAAGATTGCTAAATAGGTAGTAGCATAAGCTTGCTTCAAAAAGTATCAAAAGTTCTCAAAAAGTTCATATTTATAATCCTGGTACGATGTATCTGATCTAAGAAAAAATATTTTATAGGTTGGATACCTATAACCCATCTTTCTCGACTTTCCAACCTTTTGCTGGATGGGAGTCTGTATCTGTTTTAACTAGTAACACTAGAACAAGATGTGTTCTCAACAGCTCTAATGGAAAACCATTGAACACTATTAGGTTCATTTGACGAAATAATCATTTTACTAACTTATTTCCTGCAGCACTCTCTATCGCCGCGACGATATTGATAATCAGCTCACACACAACACTGATGCTCCACCACCTGTACCATCGGATGATCCAGTAACCAAAAGAAAATTAATTCAACATAAACTCTTTCTTTGATAGGCAAATGACGGTAGAGGATTTGTAATTTCTATCGATTCTACTGATAGTTATTGGAAAGACTTTGACACTATTATCCCATGCATCTTGCAAAACTATGACACCGTATTCTTATATCTTTACAATGGCGATAACTACATTGATCAAGCCGAAGATCTCATTCTCAGAATTATCGAAGGTTTCCAACATCTTTCTTTTCGTGTAATTAAATTCGGAATTTTACAGTTGGATTGAACGTACAGTTTGTAGTCAAGCCTAATAGCTCCGGTAATAACTCCCATCCTATGCACGTCGTTGACACCATATCATACCGTTTGAATAAACTGAAAATCTACCCAAGTATGATATGGCTTGATGTAAGTTCCATGATAGTGAAGAGTTTCCTTCAGTAATTTGTTTTACAGACTTCACTGTTTTCTATGACTGGTTCGGATGATAACATTCGTTCCCTTAGAATTTACAACAATCTCTTCGCTGTGAGTAGGCAATCAAGTAACCCATATGAACGCTTCTCTTATAGCAACAAGGAATGCAAGTGCATATCACCACAAGACTTCAACAATGGAATGATTACTTCGATAATATCAAGACATGGTCTTCCAGCGGAATGTTATTGTGGGATGACAAGGAATTAATGAATGAAGCATCTTACATTCCTTTCGGTGGATGGAAATCAGTATCTCTTTACACTTATGTACCAACACACAATTGCTCCACCAATGTTGGCTTCTACAGCCTTTACGCGTAATTCAGCTTTTTGATATTCTCTGACAAAAATTTTCTTCTTATAGATCAACTTACAAGAAGGATAGATTTGATTTCTCTTTAGGTATGCTGAGAAGAGGTTAAATTAATAATTTTCTTTTTTCAGATCCTCACACGCTTAAACCTGTAACTTTCCCTGTTACCAGCACTGTTGCAACCCCTGTAAGTAATTTCATCTGAAACGAAACTTTAACTCTTAGCTCTTAGGCACCTAACGGTAGAGGTATCGTCATTAAAACCACTGGAGATGATTATGAAGATCTTCATGCCGATGTGAAATGCTATGTAGAGAATAAGTACCAAACTCTCTTCCTCTAGTATGTTTTTTACTCCTCTTTTGTGAAAAGTTTCATTTCTAGTGTGTTGAAAGACAATGTGATTAGTACACAACTTCTGGATATGCTGAATATTATTCCATCGTGTAAGTCTGAGTATAACTTGCATCAAAGTCAAACTTTCTTCAGTCCCTTTGAATGTTCAATTTGTTATCCAGCCAGTGTTTGTAAATCCAACCGCCGAGCCTACTCTTGTTATCACCAAGCTTGTCGAAGCAATTAATTCATTCGGTTATAACCCACAATACTTCTGGATAGATGTAAGATTTGAAACAGAGTATAGCTTTAAATAATCAATTAGGTATCGGCTGCTGGTGGAAACCCAAAAAGCGATGATAATGTTGCTCTGTTACAAACTTATCTATCTGTGCTACAAGTAGTTTTAATTATGCAATCTATAACATACTTTTAAATTTTCAGACCTTCAGAATTGACTTCGGAATTGTTAGCGATCCTGATCTCTGGACGAAATCCATGGGAGGCTATAGAGGTTTGGGAAGTAAATTGCTATGGTATGTTTTGACCTGAAATTTCATTAACAATCACTTAATCTCAGGGACGATTCTAATTTGAGCGATTTCGGTAATTTCACACCTTTTGGAGACTGGAAAGACGTTGCCGTTTATTCGCACCCTTACACTGGACTCTCTTGTCCAGATGTTAAAACTACCTTTTCATACGGAGAGTAAGTTGTGCCAGGTTTTTTTGGATTTTCAAATTCGTATTTTTCAGTGCATTCTATCGTGGTTCGGAGTTGAACTTCAATCTTCCTCCTGTCTCTACTGTAGCTCCACCACCAACCAACGGAGGATCATCATCTTCAGTGGCAGCCACTACACCCGCATCAGCTACAACACCAGAGGTTCACACCTCAACGAAAAAGACTGCTTCTTCAGTATTCTCATTCTTATGCCTGAGTCTTCCACTTCTTCGTTTACTATAATGTTATATACACTAACTGAACTCTCTGTTTGACGCTCCCAATCCTGATGTAATAAATAATAATAAAAAAAAAATTAAAATATTTCACCCAATTATGAAATTATTTCATTGTTCTTTCCACACACTGTTAAATATTTGAATTAGGAATGCACTCTGGAGAGAGAGCTTTGACCCTTCACTAAAGCTCCTAAAGAAAGAGATTAAAAAGGAAAATAATACTGCCAGGTTTTTCTGTAGTATTCACTTTTCAACTACATCATAAACATGTATGTCATCAAGTAGCTCAGGAGTAAGTTTACATAAATAGATGCAAGATCTTCGGCGTACTCGGATGCTTAGCACGTGAACTTCTTAAACCCAGAGTAACTACAATTTCGTACTGAACAAGTTCATTCTTTTGTTTTCTTGAGCTAAATAAGGTTCTCTGATGTGGCCTTCTTCTTCCTGGTTCATTCTTGCAAAAGTTGAGTAATAGTTGATTTTTGTTTCCGCCATGTTTATTGCTGTGTCAACGTATGTATGATCAAGGTTCATTCCCATTTTTGATCATGAGAGTGAGCGGTGGTTCGAACTCATTTCAATTCTTGGTGTCTTAAGTGAGCGGTGGTTTCCATTGATAAGTTGGTTAGAGAAGGACAACAGCGAGAACTTAGTAACTATTTCTTTTATCTTGAATAATTGAAGAGTTGTTCATAACTAGCTGGTTGAACGGTGTTCTGCACATCTACATACCTCTGGGTAGGGTTTTATATTTTGTTTGCTACTTTTGTGCAACTCTCATCATTCTCTCTTTCCATGGAAAGCCGACTCTTAGAAGCAGTGATATTTTCAAGCTCATGAACTATTTTCTTTCCAAACATTTTAAGTCAAGCAGGCAATCCCGCAGAATGAAAATGTCTCAGGTTAAAAGCAATGTGCATACTTCTGCTGAATAACTCAGGGTGATTGATAACCGACCTGAAAAAAAAGTGAACAGACTATCAATACACAACGCATGTAATCTTACACCGAGTTCAGAAACTACAAGAGAAGTACCTGAGAATGAAACCCCTGGAACAACTGGAGTTCATTTTTCCTTGATCGCTGATTTTGCATGATTTGCAGGAATTGTATGGCGGATCAAAAAATATTAAAATATGGAAGAGAAAAGCAATTCAACACATTGGCATGGACATCAAACTCGATTTGTCACAGTTGAGTAACAACGTTCTCAGTGAGTAATCTGAAGTCGCATTGCACGCAACATGTCGACAGATTATCCTTGATTTGTGATTCCTTGTTTCCCAAGTTAAAAACAATATTTTTATCAGAAAAAAATTTATTTTTACAACCCGGTGAAAGAAAAATTTAAAATCGGGAGAACTCAAAGTCGACGATGATGGGTAGATATGATAATGAATATTTTACATACAAGCCATTTATACAGGATATACAGAAGGGAATTTTGTGCTTCCGACAAGTGGTTATAGAAGTAGTTGAAATGTTTTTGTTTTTTTGTTTTTTGTTTTCATTTTTTACAAGGAAAAGCTACTCTTTCGACAGTTATATGATATGTACCCGGAAACTGTTAAATCAAACAAGTATTTCTGAAACTGAACCTCAACTATTCACCGTACAGAAGGAAACAGAAGTTAGAAGATAGAAGATGGAAGAGCTGAGAGATCTTTTACTTAAATCGAAGTTCAAGCTTTTGGTTCATCCTTCACAGAACTCCGCGGCGAAACCTTTTTTGTTGTTGAGTTTTTGGTTCAATTCGAATATTTACAAGATTTGCTAAGCCATTAGCAAATGAGTTTTGTTTTTCTTTCGTCTCCAGCATCTGCAGAGGTTTCAGAATCTGAAACACAAAAGGTTAAGACTGAGTTTCTTAATTTCATAGCTCACTTGGAATGAGCAAAGAAGATTTTCATCCACGTTCATTACAGCTCCAGCATTATCGAACTCTCCACAGTAATTGGGTGCCGAGAAAATAGTGACAAGACCTCTTCTTCCGAAGAATTCGTAACCATCTTCGACTACCTGTAATGAATGGTAACTGTGCTGCAGCTTTGTCTATATCAACTCACTTGATGTCCTCTAACAACTATATCTAAATCCATTTTTTGTAAAAATTGTGCTAATACATCAACTCCAAAGACATAAGATACTCCTCGTTCATTAGGAGCCCAACCAACTACACTCGCATCCGGATCAGACCACAGGATATCACAGAGTAATCCTGAATTTTCAATGATGAAATGAATCTCTGTTTATTCATCTTGTTTATTTACCTGTTTCATGCACATCACATGGCCGTGAAATTCTCTTCAATTGGTCCAATGAGCGAAGTGTTGGAGAAAGTCCTATAAAGGAAATTATAGTTACGGAAGTAGCGGATTGAGATATAATATGTGTGTGGGTGATAGAGAAGCATTAAAGAGTACAGAAGCACGATATGAAGTTTGATCGCTATCTCATATGAGGAAGACATATGTCCTTTCAAATAAAAGTCGACGAAAAAGAAGACAAATTTACCTCCATGACAGCAAAATATTTTGTTATCTATAAGAGCTGCTACGGGCATACAATTGAAAACATCCTGGAACGTCTTCCATAACTTGATACTGTATCTTCGTTTGCCTTGAATAGAATTAAAATTAGAATTGTCATTTGAAGATGAAAAAAAAAAGTTTTCACGGATGGTTCTACTTTCATTTCATCTATTTACTCTTCTAGAATGTTTCGTATTGACGAAAACTGGTAACTATTCGGGAATGGAGGAGAGGGGCAGAGAAAAAACATTTGGCTGATCATCGTTTAACCCTTCTAGCCCGTTTTACCTTTCTCTTTAATTGTTCAAACAGTTCCATACAAAGAACAATTCAGACAAGCTGGTTGGTTTCGAAAGCTCAATTTTCCATAACCAGTTTGTCAAATAAATGGGAGAGATTACTAACCCTTCTTTACCCTTTCCTCCCTGTATTTTCCTTTTAAAAAAAAAGTTCTTCGAGGAAGAAACAAGACATGACTGTTGATGCCATGGGGCTGTTAGCACACATTAGAAAGTCGTTTTACAAGCAAAGTTTGTCGTCAGCAATGGAAATCAAATAGAAAATTTCCAGGACAAACAGAATAAATGCCGTTGTGGACGAGAAAAAAAAGAAGTGAAGAGGGCAATGTGACAAAAAAAGATGTCAAAAAAGTAAATTTAGATGGCCTGAGGCGAGGAGATGACGTCTACACATACATACGCACGCATACTCATCCTAACTCATATTCAACTCCAATTACATTCATGAACGTCACAGCCCATTTCATTATTAATACAAAAACTTACATTCATCATAAAAGCCATAAATCCTATTGAGATTAGCAACTTCATGATTTCCACGCAACAAAAAGAAGTTATTGGGATACTTGATCTTGTAACATAGCAAAAGAACAATTGTCTGAAAATATTTTAAAATTATTTTTTCTTTTTTTACTTTTCACTCCATTCCATTGGCTCTTATACACACAATTGATGGGAAAATGTGTTTGTAAAAGTATTTTTTACAAGTTTGTGTGATAAAAATTATTTTTTGAGTTATAAGATGGAATGTTTTTCACGAATTTTGAACTAAAAATTAAGAAAAACAGAGACAACTGTCACATACACACTCACATGCATACATACACACTCATCTTCTCTCTTCTCATGAAAATTATGGAAAATGGCTTGTTCATCTATCGTTCACTCATTCACAAACATCATCCATTTAAGGTTACAAGATAGTTTATGATGGCTGACTTCAATCTTTAACTTCTTGTTTTCACTTCTGGTCTAGAAGATGAGATGTGTCTGTGTCTATGTATGTGTGTATGTGTGTGTGTGTGTTGAACCAGAAATGAAAGAAGAAGAAGAAGCAGGAAAGAAAAAAATGAAAAAAAAAGCTTATGCCATACCATATTTGGACAAACAATAGCTTTTTTTTTCGAGAGAAGGCTAAGAGATTAATTGTCATCACTAAAACATATAGCTTTAGTGAAAGATGATGTCATTTCACGTCTCTCAGCCTCCTTCTTCCGCCTTTTTTCCCGTGTCAGCAAAAAAAGCTTTAAAGCTTTTAAGCTATTTTGACCAAAAATAGATAAAGATATGTGAACTTATCAATCATTTTTACGATTTTGCAAACGTTCGTTGTGTCTGGCATTTTGCAGGCCAAAAATAAATTGATTTTATGTGTAATTTGGGAACAAAAAAAGTATATTTTATAACTTATGAGAGCAGATGTTGTTGATGAATTCTCATTTGACTTACTTCAATGCTTTTCGGTCCACGATCTACATAGTCTCCAAGAAATAGATAATTCGATTCGGGAGGAAAACCAGACAGATGGAATAATCTCAGCAAATCAGAATATTGTCCGTGTATGTCTCCTATAACATGTGAAATGAGGTTGAAAAATATCTGTTCACATCTTGCTTCCTTAAGCTTTTCCCTCCCACTTCCTATCTCAATATGTCTCTCTCACATGTTCACCGAATGTTTCTCTCTTAAGACTTCCGACAGTCTTACTCTATCTCTCTCTCTCTTTTTTTTTTGAAAAAATTGAAAAAGAGAGACGTTGATATGAATCAGAAAAACAGGCTCTAAAGCCTAAGCTGATTAAATTAGCATAAGCTATACAAATAATCAATGGCTTATTTGTCTAAATAGTATGATTACATAGCGTACGTGGGAAGAAAAAAAGATCTCTAGGCTCTCTTTTATTCTCGAAATTTCAATAAAAAAAGGTTTTCAAAACACGAGTGACCAGTTGAAACTAGAATTCTATTCCATCTAGTCAGGTTCTTTATGATAAAGTTTTAATATGAAGCGATTACGTGGGGTGTGATGGAAAATTTTGATTTTGTCCTTTCGCCTGATCAGATCAGGAGGTTTGCGGGAGTGAAGAGAGAGAGAGAGAGGAAATGAAACTATGTAATACTCACCAGCAATCTTAAGTGGCGGTTCCAATTCCAGAAGCATAGGCTGATTCATAAAAATTTGTCGCGAGAGGACACAAATCATTCTCATCTCATTTTCAGATATGTCAACAGTTTTTTGCCATGGCTTCACCTGAAAGGCAAGTATGTATGGATGACGATGATGATATTAACTTATGAAATAATTGATGTGAAAAGAAAGAAAAAAAAGGAAGAAGAGAGTGTATAAAAGCTGATTCAATAGAATTTAGAAGGAGCTTTTCTACTAAGCAAACAACAAATCAGGATATGAGACACGTTATTGAAAGATTAAAACGGAATCATTTCCGTGTTTCAATTAAATTGAAGCTTTTCTGAGAGCTTTGTTTTCATTTGCAGCATCAAGCATGAGTTTACAAACTTTTTCTTTTTTTTTTTCCAAACAATGATAGAAACAAAGAAAAGACAATTAATTTACCTGAACTAATGTATTGATAATCCGGTTAAGGTCCAAATCGCCGTAATGGACAGACTTCCGTCGCATTACCATATTCTGCAGAAAGAAAATATAAAATGAAGGAAATTAAATGGAGAGTTTCAAACATTTTTTACACCAAAAAAAGAAATATATAGAGAGAGAGAGAGAAAGACTATGAGAAGGAGAGAGAGAGAAAGAGAGAGCAATGTAAGGAAAACAATAAAACAAACAATCAAACATCAAAAACGAAGATGGGAAAAAGAAAATATGAGCTGTGAGAATTGCTTGGTTAGCATGGAAAAATATGAAATTAGAAATCAGCAAAAAAATGAAGAAAAAATGAAAGTTTTGTGTGAATGTATGGCAACTTTGCTAGTTAAATATATAAAATATTATATTTTACCACAGATGTCGAAGTGAATTTTGGCAAGAATGGAAGGGAAATGAGGGCGGGGCTGGACGACTGACTGCACGAGGCAAAAACCAACTGATGGTATGTATGATAGGAAGCTTTCCAGTTGTAACTGAGGTGTTATAACCTTATTTATTAAATAAATTGACATAGCAGAGATGGTTTAAGGCGTGAGCAGAAGAAAAACTGTGGAGAGCGGAAAAAACGACAAGAACGACACTAAAGCTGTGTTTGTTGAAAAGGCAAATGACAACATACAGATAGAAAGTGAGAGAGGCTGAGAGAGTGAAAAAGAAATAGAGAAAGGATTGAAGGGAGAGAGATGAGTTAAAATAAAAAAACGGCCTAGAGGAACAAGAGAATTAGAGAGTTTTAGGTACACGGTGAACGTTCGTTACTGACGAGCGAGGTAGGGATCGACAAACTTTGAAATTAAAAAGAAGTAAAGACGAAGGAAATAGTAGTTGCTCAATCGTTGAACTGAACAGAGTCTTAATCGCAAAGAGCAAGAACCGCATGGATTCAAACAAACGACGATAGAATTTTCAAAGTTGACGTTCTTCTACCTCTTCACCTTTTTGTCTTCTCAATATCAGTTCGCTTTTCCTTTTTTTTCTCATCATCTCTCAACTTCATCTCGTCTCTCTCTCTCGTGTGCGTATGGGATGGAGAAAGTCAGATTTCTAACACGTGTCTTCCATAACACACTTCCTTCTTTTCAGAAATTCAGAAGTTCAACTAGTGAAACAAATAGAAATGAAAAGCTTTTTATACCAATCATAGAAAAAGATATCCAATAGAAAAGGATTGTTCATCAGCTTTAAGTTTTATGAACATTGATCATATTCAAAGACAAATAGACAAATATTGTTTAGCTTGACCTCGTAACTAAAGCCTACTTGAGGTGTGATTCTAAAGATAAAGTTACGTGGAATTGTACGTGTGATTCCCACGTGTTTTTTTTTAACTCTAACGCGCCTACGCTATTTATTCATATCATTGCATGAAACTCATTTGCTCAAACCGGTTGCATTCTTCTCATTCTCTTCCTCTCTCTCCATCAATCTATCCTCTTACACCTACTTTCTGCTTCTTACAACCTCTTTTACTCTTCTGTCCTCCCCTTCACAAGACATGAATCATTGGTCGCAAGTTAGATTCTTCCTATATATATTTATATATATATTTGATTGATCTTAATAATAAGCATTAACACGTCAACTTCTATTAAAATAAAATGAAAAAGAAATCTATTCGTCTAAGTAACCAGAGAAGACCAATTTCGCTTTCTCTCGGTTTTTTTTCTTCAAAAAAACAATCATAATTGGCGCTCAATTGAAACTAAGAAAACGATATTATTTCCTAAACGCGAAACAATGCTCAGAGGGAAGTAGCTTATAGTCATTATACCTCAAAATAAGAAAAATATATATTCAAACGACCAAATATGGATAAATGATGAAAGAAAGAAAAAAAGGATTTTCTCTCTCTCTCTCCAAGATATTCACGTAAATATTGGCACCAAACATTCAAAATGAAACTTCATTCATTAGGGTTCTTCTCATCTATCTCAAAGCACTAGTATGAGAGAAGGATAAAAAAAGAATTTTTCATAATTCCATTTGCGAGCATATCAAAGTACTCTAATGAAACTACAAGAGCTCTTTTACATTCATCTTGCATATGGCCATCACATTTTAATTTTTTTTTCTCTTCAAAAATAAATTTCACGTAAAAACTATAAAATGGCAGTGAATGTCCTTTAATGGAAAGTTTGAGTAGGCGGAAATTCAGGAATGTTAGCTTTCAGAAGGGAATCGCAGGAGAAAGATTTCACTTAGGAATTCTTCAGCTCTATCTCCGACCCTCTTTATCTATTTCTCACTCTTTAGCAACCTTTCACTCCTTTTTTTTCATTTTCTATATAATATTCGAAAGAGAATGCTGGTTGTCTCTGACTCTCTCTATTGAATGACATGCAGCCTTACCTGACGAACGTTTGCAAGCGAGAAAGCGGAATAATGAGGTAATCTAGCAAATGAAACTGAAAACTACAGAAAAATGAAGTAAATGTGACAAGTTATTTGTTCTTCTTTAAACTTTGACCTTGGATTATTTGAATACAATCAAAGACAGAATAGCCAGTTGTGCTTGAAAGCTTTGGGTATGGTCGAGTAAAGTATTTAAGAAGGAAGAGAGAGAGAAGAAGACAAAAAATGACAAAAAAAAAGATAGAGATAGGAGGTTGGATAATGAAGATGAAGAGAATGAGAAGGGGCGAAAGCAACCGAGCTGTGCATAGCAATTTGGCACAATACTTAACGAACACTCGAAAAAAATTCTTACGTGAATATTTACGTGGCAATACGTATAAATTAGCATAAACACAGTTGTTCCACGTGGTCTTCTTGAGGAGAATGAGCAAAAAACAAGAAATGAAGACACGAGAGAAGAAGAAGATGAAGAAGAAGAAGAAGGAAGGACTGAACGAGGAAGAGTCAAAAGATGATGCTTCTACTAGGCACAATGACACAACATATAATTTGTTTTACAAACCTCACCCATCAATGGGAAGCAAAAACTTGAGAACAACAAACATAAATAAAGACAAGGAAAAGAAAAAGAATCATTTTTTGACATCAGTGTCAAGAGCCAAAACATTGTTTTAAGTGAATTTGCTTCCAAGAGAACTGCTTAACTGAATGAGAGGAGGTGATGCTCTTCCTGTCATGCCGAATATTCAATACCGAACAAGGAAAAGGAGAAAAAAAAAGAAGGAGAATCGCAAATTTCTTCAAGCTTCAGTCTAATGGGAGCTGCATTTCTGATTTTGTGGATGACAATGAGTGATGAATAGAGTATTTGAGAAAAACAGAAAAAAACGAACATTTTATTAAAGAAGATATGAAGGAAAGCTTGTGATGAAGAACAGTGAGAAGATGAGAAACAAGGAGAAGGAGATAGAACGATGAACTGCTGAGAATGAACGTGAGGAGGAGCAATAACACATAGCGAAACAAGATTAACAAGAAACAATAAAGCTGAGAAATTGATAAAATCGTTTTCATTCATTCTTTTTTTCGATCAGTTGTTCAGTTATTTCTTTTAATTCTTTTTTATTAAATTTCAAACATCAAAATGAGAGAGAGAAGGAGAGAGAGGGAGAAGAAGGGAGAGGAAGATGAATAACAAAGGAGGGATTGCAGGAGCTTGGAGTTTAATTGTAAGTGTGTGTGTTAAAGATCGTAAGTTATATCAGATTGTTTTCATGTTTTCTTTTTTTCTTTTTGAAATTTATTATTCAAAACGATTGACATGCTTCACATCCAATATTCTCAGCTTCAACTTCAGAAAGACTTCTTTAGCTATGCTGATTCCTCAACTTCAGCAGATCATTAATATAACTTGTCATATCCAAAAAAAAAGTGTTCAAATATTTCCCGAGTGTGGAGTTGCAGGAGAAAAATCTCTTCTTTTTTTTTTCGCTTTAACGACTGATGAGAAAAAAACAGCTTCAATCAATGGAATGTTTATCCTTCATTTGGTTTTTTTCTTTCCTCTCCATCTTTCCCTCTCTCTCTTCTTTAAAACTTCCCACAGTTTAAAAAGAATCTAAGACAACAACACTGCGTTCCAGTCAACGAACGCAGATGCACGAAAGGTAATGCACCCTTTGAAGCTGAATGTTCTTGATGAACTTAGTAATGGACTTGTTTCAAGATGAGGTTGTAGATGATGCTTACGACCAAAGCCAGATAATAATTGAATGTTCTGAGAGAGAGAAAGGTTCTGCCCTCTCTCTCAATCTCTTTCTCTCTCTCTCTGCTTCCCTCACAAAAACATTGAAAAGTTCAAATTGTTGCTGAAGAAGGAAGACGTTTTTTTGATAAAAGAAAACATGCGAGACTGATGGTAGCCTCCAGAAGAAAGAAATGCGAAAAATGACAAAAAAAGAAAAGAAAAATAAAAACAAAAAATTCAAGAAACCAAGGCAGAGTTCTAAGAAAGCAAAAACTTGAAGTTGATATAATTAAATTATAAATTATAAATAAAAAATGCCGTTCTGGCCTGTTGGCAGTGTATGTTTCAACCACAATACGAATCAAGAACGACACCTCGAAACAGGGCTGATCGTCGATAATAGGGAAAAACAAAAAAAAATTTCTTCTTTTTCATATTTTTTATTGTTTTACTTGGGAAAGAAAACATTGTAAGAAAGGATTTTTGTGTTTTGCTTGATAAGCTGCTATATCACATCTTTATCTCTTCAATTTTGAAAACTTTCTTTTTGCGTGTCCAAGTAGAAGTTATTTAGAAAAAAGCAGACAGACTAGCTCATATAGTGTTTAGAGACACGAAAATGTTGAATATTTTCAGATGAACGACGCCGAGGATGTTGCTCAGCCTTCTCAACGACGTCTTCATTCCGTTTCGAAAGTGACTAAGAACTGGGTGCGTGTTGGGTGGAAGAACGTAAGAGCTGATGAAAGCATGAGAGAATGAATGAAGGTTAGAGATGTTGAAGAAGAAGAAGAAAAAAAAAGAAAAGAAGAAAAATAGAGAAAACGAGAGGAACTGACTCCTGGAATATCACCCGGTTTTCCAGTCTACGTCCTCGTCGAGCATCGTATAAGCCTCCGGATGACAAACATCGTAAGGA